AATTACTCAGTCCCCAACTTCTATCCACCCTAATGGTTGTTGTCTTATCCCCCCTACTGAAACAACTCCTCTTGCTACTCCTAATGACAATCTTGTACAGCTCCTTCTTTGCTCTTTAATTAACATGCTGTCTAAAATGTCAGATGCCTTACCGTACGACGTTGCAGTTCTTGTTGAACAACTACTTTCTGTTATCACAAAAAATAATGCTTCCAATGGCTCTCCAGGTCCTGCAATGGAACTGTAGGAGTATCCGACGTAACAAACAAGATATCTCTTACTTGATCAATCAACATGAACCTGTTGTTTTTGCAGTTTCCGAAACGTGGTTAAAGCCTGAATTCCATTTTAGAATTCCTGGTTTCTCTTGTCTTCGGGATGATAGAAGTGATGGTTATGCTGGTTGTGCCTTATTGGTCAATAGGAATATTACATTCTCTCTAATCTTATTACCAAACCACTCTCTTGGCTTAAATATAGTGGCCCTCAGAGCTTTTAATGTTTCCTTTGTCTCTGTCTATATTCCCCATCCCAACACAAGCATTCTTCTTGAATTAAAAACAATTCTTTCAACTATCCCCTCCCCTATGATTGTTTTAGGAGACTTTAACTGCCGTCACACTCTATGGGGATCTCACTGTATTGACTCATGCTCCTCTGTCTTACTTGACGTTATGGATGATTGCAACTTGTGCATCCTTAATGATGGATCCGCAACTCGTAGAGTTTCTCCATGCCAAAATATTAGTGTTCCAGATTTAACACTATCTTCTCCTTCCCTAGTCTCCCTCCTATCCTGGTCCCCCCTGCCAAACTCCCTTGGTAGTGATCACTTCCCTATTTTAATTTCATACTTCCCCTCTACTTCATATGTTCCCCGAACCCTACAACCCCTCCTCAAATACAGAGTTTCCCAAGCCAATTGGGAGCAATTTGCAACATCTCTAGATCAAAATTTAACCACTCTCCCTCAAACAAATTCCTTTAATTTTCTTGTCCTCTATGACCAATTTATCTCTGCAATTAACTCAGCTGCTGATTGCTCTATTCCCCTCAAACTTCCTTCCAATAAATTGACTGCTTCTCCCCCTTGGTGGGATTCTGAATGTACTGCCAGTGTTAAGAAGCGCAGGGAGGCTGAGAACAAATTTGCTGCATCCCTTTCTATGTCGGATTTCCTCAATTTCAAAAAAATTGCTGCTAGCACAACTAGACTTCTTACTGCTAAAAAATCTTTAGGTTGGCGTTCATTTTGTGAGTCCTTATCTCCTCGCTCTAGTCTCTCACTTGTCTGGAAAAAATTCAAGTCATTCCGAAAAAGTCTTGACGTAACAAATATCTCTAGCAATGACCCTCATTCATTCCTGCACGACTTCCTTAGCCAACTGGCTCCTCCATATGCTCCAGGTTTCGATTGTTTCCCACCTGCCTATCCGTTTATTCCAGATTCCTCTCAAAATACCATGGATGATCCCTTCTCTTTCACAGAACTATCCTTTGCTCTAGATAATCTTCATGATTCCTCTCCCGGCATTGACGGTATCCCTTACTCTTTTATTCGTAAATCCTCCAATTCTTCCAAAATCTTCTTCCTCAGTATCCTCAATGCCATCTTTTATTATGGTCAAATACCTGAATCTTGGAAGACCCAAATTGTCATTCCTGTTCTGAAACCTGGTAGAGATCCCAGAAATTCGTCTTCCTATCGCCCTATTGCGCTCTCCTCAGTACTAGCTAAAATAATGGAAACCTTAATTAAATTCAGACTCGAATGGTTTCTAGAACACAACGAATTGTTAGCCAAAAACCAGTATGGCTTTAGAAAAGGTTTAGGCACTTTAGATAGCCTCAGCATCCTCTCCTCTGAAATTCGCCTTGCATTTTCTCGTAACGAGAATGTAATCGGTGTTTTCTTGGACATCTCTGCAGCCTATGACAATGTACATCTTCCTCTTCTCAGGCAGAAAATGCTACATCTGAGTATTCCAGCGAGGATGGTTCACGTCATCTGCAATATGCTCATGTGTCGTACTATCTCTATTCGTCATCAAGGTTCTTTTCTCCCTCCTCGTCTTGTATGGAAGGGCCTTCCGCAGGGTTCAGTGCTTAGTCCCATTCTTTATAATATTTATACTTTCGACCTAGACCAGTCTGTCAGTTCTTTTTGTAAAGTTCTTCAATATGCTGATGATGTTGCCATATATTTTTCGTCATCCTCCTTCTCTACTGCCACTTCCCGTTTGAATTCCGCTCTGTATTATTTAAACGTTTGGCTATTGGACCACAATCTTTCTCTGTCTGTTTCTAAATGTAGTGCTCTTGTTTTCTCTCGCAAACGTAATATCCCTGATATCAACCTTTCTGTAGCAGGCGAACTAATTCCAATAAAAGATTCCATAAAGTTTTTAGGCCTCATTCTTGATTCTAAATTATCTGGTATTCACCATCTAAACCATGTTATTAAAAAGGAGCGAGGGGGGGTGTGAACGTTTATGCGGGCCTTATCTTGGGGTTCGCTGGGGCTCTCACCCCTTTTGCCAAAAACTTTTGTACAATGCCATAGTTCGGAGTCACTTTGATTATGGTTCTTTCCTTCTGGAACCATGTAATAGAGGTGCTCTGTCTAAGCTTCAGCTGATCCAGTCTAAGTGCCTTCGAATCATAACTGGTGCTATGAAATGCTCTCCAGTGAATGCCCTCCAAGTCGAATGCTTGGAACCTCCCCTTCATCTTCGCCGCCAATTCTTAGCTGACAGATACTTCTTTAATGCAGTCCAAATTAATTCCCATCCCCTTCTTCCAATTCTGTCTCAACTTTCTAGTCTGACCACTATCTCATTGTACTGGAGACACAAGTCTATCCCTTTGCTTCTTAATTCCTTTATTAAAATGAAAAATCTATCTGATCCTATCTTTCAATCTTCTTTAAATCCTCTTTTTGAGCTCGACTATAATGCGTTAACCTTCCTACCAAAAATCATCCTTGACTTTGGCATCAATAAACATTCTCCGGCAGCCAACCAAAACTTTCTCCACATCATTGCGGAGGATTGGTCTGATTGGGTTACGCTTTATACAGATGCATCAAAACTTTCTTCAGATGCCTTTGTTGGTTCTGCAGTTTGGATTCCCAAATTTAAAATTATACTAAGTTATAAATGCTCTTCCTACAACTCTATCTTTTCAGGAGAATCTATTGCCTTATTAGAAGCGGTCTCCTATGTGGAATCTCATAAGCTTGATAAGTCCCTTATTTTGTCAGACTCCTTGAGCTGCCTACAAGATCTTTTAAAAAATCCTTTCAAAGCTCGCAATAATTTCCCTATAATTCTTAAAATTAAAGAGGTTCTTCACAGATGCCTATTGTCTGGTATTGAAGTAGTTCTAGCATGGATCCCCAGTCATTCAGGTATAGCAGGCAATGAAACTGCGGACTCCTGCGCCAAAATAGCAGCTCAGACCGGATGCGCTAGCCACAAATTCTGCTTCGCCCGAGATCTGCGCTCCCTAGCCAAACTTTCATTGACTGAGTCCTGGAATAACACATGGCAAAGCAGTAGAATGATCAAGGGTAAATTTTACGGCTCTCTACAACCCTTAATTCCTGCTAGATCCTGGTTCTTCAAACAAAAACATGTTAATAAGTCAGCCACCTCTACTATAATTCGTTTACGATTAGGATTTGTCAGTACCCCAGTTTTTCTTGCCAAAATTCGAGTTCGTGATCACTCTCTATGTGAGTGTGGTCTCGATGAAGGCACTCTGGAACATATTTTCTTTTCTTGTCCTAAATTGGTCGTACCTCTGTATGATCTACTCCCTCAACAAATATCCCGACCCGTTAATTTGGCTTATCTATTAACTCTAGTATATACCCCATTTGTCAGGATCCTTTACCATTTCATTCGTATAAATAAAATAAATTTATAAAGTTTCCTAATACCTTTACTGCTATATTTTTTTCTACTGTCCTTTTTCTTTTTTCTCTACTGTCCCACAGAACCACAAACAGAAACTATTAAAATCACAACAATTCCCTTTTGGTATTCAAATATTTTCAACCTATTAACTAATAAATCTACCTCCCACCTAGACATTGGCAAAATCATCGACATCCGATGGAGCCACTGAATTAAAGGAAGAAGAAGAAGAAGAAGTAATGATTTCCTATCTATTCGATAGATGGCGCTGAATAACTGACATAAAAAGTGTCGTTACAACTTTTCGTAAGAATTTTTTCCGTCTAGCCCCTTTTCACAACGCGCGATAAGGAACTTCGTTCCAAAAAAAGTCCGCGATGGTATATGTCTATCTCCTAAAGATAAACCACAGTAACCATTTTTATCTTGACCATATTCCAAAAAAAATAATGGGTAATTTACGAAGCAATTTTTAACAATACAGCATTTGATGTCGATAATGAAAATAATAAAATTAATTACGTGGAGTAATTACTGACACCACATTAGTATCTACATTGCACCCATGCGAAGCAGGGGTGGATCGCTAGTAAATATATATCTATACAAATAAATAAAATTGGAGTGTCTGTTTGTAATATTAAAATAAACGCTTTTTACTAAATGCATATGTATGGTTACACGGTACATATGCCAAAATAATATTTTTACAATTTTTGACTGTCTGTCTGTTTGTTCGGGTAATCTCTGGAACGGCTGGACCGATTTCGACGGGACTTTCACTGGCAGATAGCTGATGACATAGGAGTAACTTAGGCTACTTTTTTTAGACTAGCTTCGCCCCGCGGCGTTGCCCGCGGTTATAACAACAAACGCGGGTAACACTGCGGGTCTCAGCTAGTTACAGATAAATTACAACAAGATACAGAACAAATGATCAGACATCACACAATTATTTGTTCTGGGAATTAAATCCATGACCTCTTTAGTAGTCAGGGTCAATAACCACTAGACCAACTGCCCCCTCCCCCCCCCCCCCCCCCCGTTTTACCATACGACTATATCTATTTTAAATTGCAGGCTAATGAAGATCAGACAGTCATACAAGAAGAAAGCGAGGAACACACGCCAGATGACGTCGTCAAATCAGACCAAGTAGAAACCACTGCCAAGAGTAACGGACTAGTTGAAGCCAGCGCTGAAGTGAGTAAAATCATCAGCCACTGGAAGACTACTAAAGGCTTTCTGGGCTTTCCCTTCTACCCAATGTCTCTTCAACCCGCTGATCTGTCAGGCTGTTTTTTTAAGGTGAAACTTTTTTAACAACGTTGTGATTTGAAAATTCGTTGAAACGAAAAAGCGACAGTAAAAAGAGACAAACATACTCATAAATAGGATTTAGCCTGTGAGAGAATGAGATAGATTACAATTATACAGTGTTTTCTGTAATATTCGTTTCCTCTAAGCTATCACGTGTCTTTGCGCCTGCGTACAACGAAGCCTTAAGCCTCGTCGCTTATCAACGAGTGATAACTTATGATACTTGAGTCTTAGGCGGGTTTAGGGGGTAGACCGGTTCTTCAGGAAGTCCGTCCACACGTCCTTCGTTTCCCCTATCAAGGGTATGATGCGAAAAGCATTCCCCGCGTTAAAAAAAAGGTGTGGATGGCGGTAGGCACTTGCCATCAAACTGCTGCGGGAGGCGATAGGATGGCGATTGGCCGATAGGCGCGGGAAGCCCGCGGCTTTCCCTGGATAGGGCTTCACTAGGCATGGCGTCAATCTGGGGGGACCTGAAATAACATAGACCAGGTCTTCCTCGGAGTCCAAAAAAAGGCACTTGCCATGAGGTGCCCTGTCTGCTCGTTCGTAGAACAACTTTCATTAAAAAGAATGTTTCACATGTGTGTATCACTTTTTAATAAACTTCCTAAGAGCCTAAGGGAACTTCCATTTAAATATTTTAAAATTAAACTTAAAAATGGCTAGTTGATAAGTGTTCTTCTATGAAAAAAGAGTTTATGCAGTAAAAAACTAATGTAATAACAATATTATTCACATCACATCAACAGCCTTCAATAGTCCACTGCTGGACATAAGCCTCTCCTTAATATTATTATTAGCTAATATAATTATGAAATATTTTCATGTTTTGTTATTAACAGTTAATGTTTGTGTTTGAATGTAAATATTTGTATACTCAATACGGGCAATTTCAATTTATTGCATTCTATAATGTACATTCAGGTGGTAGGCTTAAAAGTAGGTAACAATTATGGACCCTTCTTTTTTTTTTTCCCGTGCGGAAATCCCCTCGGATACCACCTATCGGAGGCATGTCGGACTCGAACCGACTTAAACCGCACGCCGTCTCGGGTACTAATAGCCGGGGAACCAGGTATACCGTAGAAAGGAAGTCCCTGGTGGGCAATTATGGACCCTGTCGGGTACAGCACTATCAGGAGAGAGGAGGAGCTGCCTAATTATGCTAGTTTTAAGGCAGAATATAGCTTGAATAATACACCACTGATAAATCTACTACCACCTGTGTTCTGTGCAAATAAACGTTTCTTTGTTTTGAGAAACAAAAATAGTCATCACATCACATCAACACCCTTTAAGAGGTTTTGGCCTACTGTACCACGCTGGCCAGACGGGTTGGTATAAGGTTTGTTTCTCTTTGCAGTACTGTGACACCCACGGGATGAATAGGGATGGTCACAGTTCGTATTCTTAATCCAAAAAACGGTTATTAATCAATTTTGGTGTAAAAGGAAATTTTAATTTAATAAAAAAAATATTGGAATTATTTAAATACTGTAATTATTTTATTATTTCAGACAAGAGTGCAAGCCCTCAAGGCGCGAATCAGAGAATTGGAGCAGAAGAACAATGGAGCCGGCGAGGTATATATTATTTTAATGTACTATAATGTAAACGTAAATGGAATTCTAATAGACTGCACGAATGGCGTAGTGGTTTTAGCGGTCACCTCGCCGTTTCCTACTGCGCTGAGTGTTGTTAGTTCGATCCCCACATGGGACAACACTTTGTGTGATCCACAAATTGTTGTTCTGAGTCTGGGTGTTCTTTGTGTCCGATTCATGTATGTTTGTAAATAAGTAGATGGTATAACACTATTGCATTGGGCTAAGCCTGTAAAAATAGTTGTTTTTAAAGAAAATAAATAAATAAATATTGTATGTAGGTAAATTGTAGGTAAACTCCTCCTACTCCTACTACCTTCTCCAGGAATCACACTATCTATGAGTGAAACCCGTACAAAAATCCGTTTGATAGTTTTTGAGTTCAGTTTAGACAGACGCGGCCGAGGGACTTGATTTATAACATGCAAAGATAGTAATAAGATGATATTTTTGGTTTCAGATGAAATGTCTTATATGTTTGGGAGCGTATGCGTCTCCCACCGTCTCCATACAGTGCTGGCACGTTTACTGTGAGGTAAGTTAGTATTTTAAATTGGAATATTACTGTTCTTCTATATAGGCGACTAGGTTGACTGTTTTTAGGAGTTACAGTCCCTCAACTCTGTTGGTATAACATTTCTTTTTTTTTTTTTAAAACAACTCTCGCATTAGGAATATATCCTGTGTCGCGGGGGACTTTACAAACATATATGAAACGGACACAAAGAACACCCAGACTCAGAACAACAATTTGTGGATCACACAAAGTATCGTCCCATGTGGGGTTTGAACCCACAACACAGCGCATTGGGAAGCGGCGTGGCGACCTCTTAAATCACTACGCCGTCCGTGCAGTCCTTAGTGCTGTTTTAAAAAAAAAAAACCTTAAGTCGTGAGTGTTGTGTACAGCAAGGATATTTAGTTTAGTACAGTATAATGCTATAAATGAATGCGTGTATGTGTGCATACGGGGTGCGTAGCGTGCGCCAGTGTGTGTGTGTGTAGTATTTTAAATACACATCATAAGCCTAAGTAGTCCGCTGCTGAATAAAAACCTCCCCCAAGAAACGCCAACTATCCCGGTCTTGGGCAGTCCGCAGCCATCCGCTACCAGTCAATTTCTTAGTCATCGGTCCCTTTTGGGCCATTGCTTTTATTGCACTGTATTTACAAACACTCACTATAACAAACAAGAAATCACTATATAACTCGTTAGTCGCACTAGAAATTCGCTTCGATGTTTATTCGCTGTGTCGTAAAACAATACTGTCTCGTACGGCCAACACTCTCCGCTTTTATAGTCGCAGAAACTACTTCTGCCTCGGTAGCGCAGTGGTAGTTTCTGCGACTGCTGTGCTGAGGTCTCGCGTTCGATCCCGGGTCGGACCATACGTTTGTATGATCTACAAATATTTGTTTCGGAGTTTAAGGGTTTTCTCTATATAAATAATATGGATGTATTTACAAAAAAAAAGTATACAAGTATTCTATCAGTCAATCTAGCTCTGCTTAGTTTGAAACTAGATGGCGTTGTGTGTCAGATGTCCGACACATTATTATAATAGTGCTATCGAAATTACTAAAATGATCCCTAGTATTTGATAGTCCGTTCCAAACAAATAAGAATTTTCCAGTATCAGTTACCCATTATTCTGATACTTGCAGCGCTACAGAACTATTAGTCACAATTTCAATAGTTCTACTTCACATGATACTAGATGGCGCTGTCCTCCACATTCCATACAATCCTTGCACAATCGAACTATTTAATCCTATCACATCACATCAACAGCCTAAACTAGTCCACTGCTGGAGATAGGCCTCTCCTTAGAAAGGAGATTTTGGCCTACTATACCAAGCTGGCCAGACGGGTTGGTATAGGGTTTGTTTCAAGTTTTCTTTCTCTTTGCAGTGCTGTTGTCCTGCTTAATTTGCGCGCAACAATATTATATATATATATATATATATCTTTATATATATAATTCTTCTGTGAGTGTGTATGTCACTGAACTTCTCTCAAACGACTGGACCGATTTTGATGAAATTTTTTGTGTGTGTTCAAGGGGATCTGGGAATGGTTTAGATTCACAATTTTGAATGGTAAGGGTGACCCATCCCTAATTTTGTTTTGTTGCAATACAACGTTTGCCGGATCAGCTAGTATATATATATATATATTGTTGGAAGAGAACTCAATTACGGGTTAAGTTCGCCTTCGTTTTTTTTTTAAATGTTTCTATTGTGTACGTAAGAATACTTAAATAAAAACCTACCGTGCTCAGAGCCTACCGAGAGCAATGCTTCGGCACGAATAGGCCGGCTCGACCAGAGTGATACCAAGGCCTCACAGAAAACCGATGTTAAGCCCCCCTCCCGCTGACTCGAGCGGGAGGGACTCCAAGGGCAGCAACGCACTTGTGACTTGAGTGACAGGTGACCATCGGCGGCGGTAGTTGCTTACCATCAGGTGACCCTTATGGCCCTTGAAGCGGTTTGTATATCGTGTCAAAATTTGAATTGGATCGGTGCAGAAAATTTTAAAATGTAAACAAACCAACTTAACATTACCTATAAAAGATATGTGTTTAAGGGAGCGAAATACGCAGGACAACAGCACTGCAGAGAGAAGGAAAACTTGACACAAACCCTATACCAACCCGTCTGGCCAGCGTGGTATAGTAGGCCAAAACCTCCTTTCTAAGGAGAGGCCTATGTCCAGCAGTGGACTGTTAAAGGCTGTTGATGTGATGATGTGATGTGATATGTGTCTAGAATCAATCAGTAACAAAAAATACCTCTTTTACAGGTCTGCTGGCTACAATCTCTGCGAGCGAAGAAAATTTGTCCACAGTGCAACGCTATCACAACCGCACAACATCTCAGACGAATTTACATGTAAACAGTTTAGTAGTAAGTGTTGAAATAAAAAATGGTATCTAGAAGTGCTCCCCCCCATTCCACATACCGGTGTTCACAAACGTATGGAACCATCTCGAAAAGTTTTTAAATGTATGTCAATATATGTTCGTAGAAATATTACATGAGCAAATAAAAAAGTCGCCATGCACTATAAGAATTAGTTTAGTCTGTCGACATTATGAAACGGTCGGTTTATAAGATAATATTCTCACACATTTCACACGCGGAGCTGATCCCAAACTAGACAGAGCCTGTGCTATGGTAACCAGACTGCTGATAAACATACTTATATATTTCTAAATACATACATATTGTAGATAAATTACACCCAGACACAGAACAAATGACCGTGCTTATCACACAAATATTTGTTCTGGGTTGGGAATCGAACTCTGGCGTAGCAGTCAGGATCACTAACCACTATACCAACAGGCCATTCAAGTTTATATCCAGACGTTTGAATCGCGGGGCTAGTGGTGGCCTTAGTCATTGCGAGGCCCTTGTCTTTGTGGAATTAGTTTTAATTATACTTGCAACAAAAAAATACAATGCTTAAATATAAGCCGGCTACCTTAGTTTTATAAATTAAAATTATATAAACAATTTTCTACTTGGGTTGTTGCGCGAGTAAGCGAGGTGGTTGCCTTGCTCGCCACCCCTAAAGGTCGCCCCTGCGCGGGCCTTCTCGCTCTGCAGTAGGGATGTCTTGGATGTAAACGGTGCCCTAATATTTGCAAAAAAGTTTCATTTTGAAACTGTTTAATAGTAATTGTGAACATTTCTTAACAGTAGTCAAACGTTTTGCTACAAAACGATTTTCAACTGTAGTAAACACCGGTGTGGGAGCACCTTTAGGGCCAGACCTATGGCTCGCGAGCCGTTAAAACAGGGCCTAGGGCTTTGTAAGTGTAAATCCTGTTCAAAACGAGATATATAGTGTTTTTTTTGCTTTCAAAATCAAATGAGTTTCTGCGAATAATTTGAGCCATCAAATGTAAGTCGTCTCTTTCATAAGAATACATTTTTTATTTATATCTGAAATTAATAGGATGAATAGTTCGTACCCGTGATCGTAAAGAATTTAACTCGTAAGAAAATGTATTTCAGCGACATCTAGCGCAGGCAGTCCGAACTACGTAGTAGCTCCTAATCCTGTAACGCGCGATGAATATTCTCGCAGGGATTAGTAAACATATGATATGGTAATTTTCTTGTATGAATCTGGTAGTGCATGTTCGTGTAAGGTGTCCTTGAGTTACGAGTATTATACATCACATAAACAGCCCAGTCTTTTTCATGCATATTCACACCTTCCGCGATAGTTTTCCTCCGTAGAGCGCGGTCCGCAGACTCCTTTTCGGCGGAAGCGGAGCACAGGACGATCGACGGGACGTTTGACATTTTCATTTTCTCCTAAGAGAACTTGTCTGGGCGGGCGAGATAGATCCATCCGATTAAATGCCCAAGCCATCGTGGTGGAGTCTGTTTTAACATGCCAAGGTGTCCCTACATATTATATTTGTGGTCAAAAATACTTATTTTATCTGCAGCTAGATAAATTTGTACTTCTGACTATAATTTGAGTCAAAATTTTAATCAATTACCAATGATTTATATAACAACATGTTCAGTCTAAACTACTTTTGACCAACATGTTTAGTCAACTATGTCTGACCAACCTTTCAGTCTAACCTACTTTTGACCAATATGTTAAGTCAAAACCATTCATGATCAACCTTTTCAGTCTAAACTACTTTTGACCAACTTGTTCAGTCAAAACCACTTTTGACTGTTTGTAGTCTATAGTAGTTTTGGTAGATTACGAATGTCGTTCACGGGTTCGAATTATATTTAAATGTTTAAGAATCAGCAAAATAAAGCTCAACAGATATGTTAAATAAAAAAATGTATGTTTGTTTAAGACAAATGACAGAGTTAATAAAAAAAATAGTTTTAAGCTAGAGTTAAGTAGAGTATGAACGTACAGAGCGAGATAGAGTCATTGAAAGAAGGGAAATATATATACAGGGGATGTTAAAGAAATTTGTGGTAAAAGAACAAGCCATGCATGGGACTTTTGTACCGGCTTGCGTATCTCATGGTAGGGATTATTGTTGTATTTATTTGGCTGGTAATATCATCATCAGCCTATCGCAGTCCACTGCTGGGCATAGGCCTCTCCCATTGCACGCCACTTAGATCGATTTTGGGCTTCTCGCTGGTAATATACAGTTTTAATAACCACATTATTACAACTTTGCGTTCAAAAGTTATTTCAATTTGATGTTTACATAATTATAAACTGTACTAAAGTCAATACCCAAGACAGCTGGCTGTCACAAATGAGATGTCATTGCTGTCAAAACGTTGACGTATTATTAAAATCTCATATACTCAAATTGCTATCTTCGGTAATTAAAAAAAAAATGTTTTTAGCTGCTCATTCATCAATACAGACATCGTTCAAATCCCGGGAAAGGACATGGGGTAGTTTTTATCCCAGAAAACATCCTATAAGGGGGTGGAAGTTTGTATGGTGAATCAATAACCGCTGAATCGATTTAAATGAAATTTACGCTCGCGGAAATATATGTCTGAATATAATATTAATGTCTTTAATGCCTTCTGTGAAGATATGTACAATAAATTCGTCGGTTGCTATATTGGAATGTGTGTAAATAAAATTATTTTTTTCTATGACTTCCTGTTTCATTGAACATAAACCTTTATATTTTGGACTAAGTTCTGGTGGCTAAGTGGTAGCCGAGTAGGGTAACACATCACAAAGTTAAGCAATCTTAGCCAGGTCAGTTTATGGTTGGGTGACCATTCTTCATTGAGACCGCTACGAGTCTCGGAGAGCACGTTAAGCCGTCGGTCCTGGTTGTCATACGAACACCGGTGGTAATCATTACAGGAAGTTGGAACCCTTTTTTTTTTTCTGTGCAGAAATCCCTTCGGATACCACCTGTCGGTGGCATGTCGGACTCGAACCGACTAAAACCGCACGCCGTCTCGGGTACTAATAGCCGGGGAACCAGGTATACCCTAGAAAGGAAGTCCCTGGTGCCCCGACATAGCTCGGGTCATCTACAGACGAGTAGACGACCCCCCCGTGTGGGAACCCCATGTTCCCTGTGCTCCCTGGAGGCGCCACCCCGGGGGAAGTTGGAACTCTAAAAGTCTGACAGCAGTCTACGATATCGCTTAGTACTTGGGTTATGCAGGTTTGATAGCAGTCGCTCCCCGTACAACATTGAAGTTCAGTCGTGTCGTAGTGGACTGAACCCCTACCTAGATTGGGAACAGGCTCAGAGGGTCGAGTGGATTTTTTATTTTTGTATTATGTACCTGTATTATGTTTATTTTATATATAATATACAAATAAATAAAATTGGAGTGTCTGTTTGTAATATTAAAATAACCGCTTTTTACTAAATGCATATGTATGTTTACACGGTACATATGCCAAAATGACATTTTTTTCAATTTTTGGTCTGTCTGTTTGTTCCGGGTAATCTCTGGAACGGCTGGACCGATTTCGATAGGACCTCCACTGACAGATAGCTGATGACATAAGGAGTAACTAAGGCTACTTTTTTTAGACTAGCTTCGCCCCGCGGCGATGCCGGGAGGCGAAGCCCCGAACAACAAACGAACGAAGAACCGAACAACAAACGGGTAACACCGCGGGTCTCGGCTAGTATATTAATAATAATATATCACACACACGGCCGTCTGATTTCAAACTAGGCAGAGCCTGTACTATGGTAACCAGACTGCTGATAAACATACTTATATATTTTTAAATAGATACATATCATAGATAAATTACACGCAGACAGAACAAATGACCGTGCTCATCACACAATATCTCGGTGGGAATGGAACCCACGACCTCCGGTTTAGCAGTCAGTGTTACTGACCACTAGACCAACAGACCCGTCAAATTATATTAATTTTATTATGTATGTATCTGGAGATGTAATCACGGAGCAAATAAAAAGAGGTAATTAGACTCCACTTACCGTAGTACACCTAGAAAAAAAAAAAAAAAAGCTCTGCCCTCTTCAGTTTTTCATCTACCGAACAGTAGTAAAAATACTCGCATCGTTCTATATCTCGATGTTACTACTTAGTTTAGCTATCACACTAGGTGCAGGAGGAGGTAAGGGAACGCACTCAGAATTTTGGTACCAGGGAGTAGTTTTTTAAGATTAATTTTCTGATCATCAGTATATTAAAAAAAAACGTGTGCGTCTCGGGACGCCCGACAGAAGTGATTAAACTATTATCAATCAAAATCAATCTTTCAAAAATGGTGAGTTTTAGGTTATATGCTCACTGTCAACAGTTTGTCTATCGCACACTAACCACTGAGTAGAGAGAGGGGGACGCGTCTGTCCGAAATACGGCTGTGGGTTAGAGTGAGAGAAGAGAAGCCTGCCTACCGCTGCCGTATGCGTGAGAGAAAGGGGAGCCAGACAGACGCGCCGTAACGCGTTACGTAACGAAGCGGTTTACACTCCCATAAGAATTTATCACTTCAAAAAAAAACATACTCTTATTATAATCGTACTTAACTCCCTAAATTATAAAAGTTTGTTCTTTCTCCTTCACCTTATCCCGTTTGTAGTAAATTACAAATGACGATTTTCTAATTGTTGTCTGTATATGAGTTACACGTTCAAATTCAAATTATCTTTTTTTTTTATCTTATTATTCATTTTTTGTTTTAAATTGTTTGAAATCGTCTTTTATGTAGACTCTAAAGTCGTAGATTAACACACACACAATAGCAACAATCTCTTTTTTGTCAAATAATTAGGAAAATTAATTCAATAAAAATTAAACTTATACAAAACCCATGATATGCCTGTACCGAGCTACAACCGCCGGTTTCCAAGGGGTTGAGTCTTATGAGAAGAAAGGGCAAACAAACTCATGGTTAAGTCGCCCTAGATCCTTTCGGGAGTTATGGTATTGCCGAAACCTAAAATTTTTCAAGATATTGGACTTCCAAATTTTTTATAAAAATTGCCGAAATTTTGACTAATACAATTTTTTAAGACCTTATATCCCTTATTGTTTTCTTTTTTTACTGTTTTTGTGTAGTTGATAATTTGTTTTACAATTTCCATTACCAAAATTGTACTCAACAAACTGGGTCGAAGTAGTTTATGGTGTATGAAAGCAAAAAAAAAAAAAAAACTGACGAATATTTAAAAAAAATCTATGATTTGTTAAAAACTAAGATTTAAGTTAAAAACATGTACATATTGTCCGCTGTCTAACAAGGTATAATAGTCTAGGATAGTATCAGAATTCATAAAAATAAAACTTGGATAAAGGACCGGGAGTATATTAAGAATTAGCGTACAACTCGGTAGTACCTAGTTGAAAACTTCTCATCATCATCACATCCAGCCAACAGCCCATAATAGTCCATCTGCTGGACATAGGCCTCTCCTTAGAAAGGAGGTTTTGGCCTACTATACCACGCTGGCCAGACGGGTTGGTATAGGGTTTGTTCTTAATACTATACAATGCAATCTCATGCCATCTATAGCAACTAAACGTCTATCCGAATAATTTTTACATGATAAAATACAAATCTTTATCCTCTTCTTAATTACCACGAAAATATACCGATGTGCGATATAAGTGCACAGTACGAACGCTGACAGTGTACTAACTTAAAGTCGGCCCGGTGTGATGACGTCAGGACCTAGTTAGAATCACAGTGCAGTTGCTTAGGACCTCTCCTCTTTGTATTTGCTCCGTGGATGTGTGATCTTTCTGGACATTCCTGTTTGTTAGGAGCGAATTCGTAAGTAGATCAATAAAATAAATAAAAACAGTAGATTTTGTAAAGAAATATATTATTATAATTTATTAATAAATAATGTTTACATATTTTGTACATTTTATGGCCAAAATAGTTAAAATTACAATAAGCGCATCTGATATGTACAAGGAACACAAAGTGGTCATCATCACGATCAGCCTATCGCAGTCCACTGCTGGACATAGGCAATAAAATACATACAATATTGTAGTTTCGTAAAAATATAATAATACTTTAAGACCACTTAATTTACTTTGGCATCAGACAGCTGTGTGGGACACACGGCTGTCTGATGCCATACTAGGCAGCATCTGTACTATACTAACCAGACTGCTGATAAACATAGAACTCTATTGCACGCACCACATAACTCTGCATCAAAACCAAAAAAAAAAAAATTGGCTGCAACCCGAAAGTTGCGCAGATACACTCGCAAGCAAACGTACTGAGACTAAAAACAAGACTAGGGACTCCCAAGGGCGGCCACGCAATTGTGATTTTTGAATTGCTGGTGTCCATGAGCGGCGGTAGTTGTTTACCACCAGGTGACCCGTCGGCTTGTTTGCCCCCTTATACCATAAAAAAAGAATAAAAAAGGCTAAGGTTAAGAACAAGCAGTAATAAAATTCATGTTATTTAATTCGGAATTGTAACTAATTATACAGGGTGTAAGGGACGTCGTAACGAATATTGAAATGGTGTATTCAGACCATCATTCTGAGTCTAAAATCATTGGAAATTTCTGCCAAAAAATTAATTTTTTTATGCAATCAGCTGTTAACTACATGTGTATTCCGTGCAAACAGTCTACGCACACTAACATAAAATGGCGGCCGGAGAGGAGACCCCGCGCGCTTCGCTGTTTGTTTAATTACATTGCAGTTTTTTGGTATTTATTAAATTCTTTTCGGTTAAATGTTCTATCTATCCATTGTGATATCATTTTTCATCATTATTAAAGAGAAAAATTAAAAAAAAGATGAATTTTCCGGCAGAAAATTTCAATGATTTACGACGCAGAATCATGGTCTGAATACACTATTTCAGTATTCGGTACGATGTCCCTTACACCTTGTATATGTATGCACTGGCCTGTGTCAATAATATTATTTACACGTGCCTGTCACCTATCTATACAAAAAAATAAAATTGGAGTGTCTGTTTGTAATATTAAAATAACCGCTTTTTACTAAATGCATATGTATGTTTACACGGTACATATGCCAAAATAACATTTTTTACAATTTTTGTCTGTCTGACTGTCTTTGTTCCGGGTAATCTCTGGAACGGCTGGACCGATTTCGATACGGACCTTCACTGGACAGATAGCTGATGACATAAGGAGTAACTTAAGGCTTACTTTTTAGACTAGCTTCGCCCCTCGGCGATGCCCGCGGTTATAACAACAAATGCGGATAACACCGCGGGTCTCAGCTAGTTTAAAATACGCTTGTTTACTGTGTTGTTTATATTCTGTACATTATCACTTGTGTGTAAAATATTCACCAAGAATGAATATAGTAACTATCACACCACTGCTGCTTTTATTATTGTTACTGTTTTAAAATAATACTAGCTGACCCGCGCAACTTCGTCTGCGTCTCTCAATAGTAATAAATTTTCTCCGTTTTTGAAACATTCTTCATTGGTGCTCCGCTCCTATTGGTCTTAGCGTGATGATATATAGCCTATAGCCTTCCTCGATAAATGGGCTATCTAACACTGAAAGAATTTTTCAAATCGGACCAGTAGTTCCTGAGATTAGCGCGTTTAAACAAACAAACAAACTCTTCAGCTTTATAATATTAGTATAGATTTATTACAGTAAATGTTATGTACCTACACCTTAATTGTCATACATATCAGGTATACTCGTAATGCCACATATTGTCAAAACTAGTTATAAGTATAATATGTATGATGTGGGAGTACTTATTAATAAATTAATAAATAATTATGCCCAGCAGCACAAATCTACCAGTTAAAACACAGTTCATTCGTAAAATCTAAATAATTAAAATAAATGTATTTTCAAACCTTTTTTCCCGGTTTTTTATCATGCTTACGTAAATGTTTCTTATAATTGTTATTACAAATAAAATGTACTTTACACACCTCACACTTAATTGGACTCTTTGTACTATGAATCTTGAAATGTTCTAATAATTTTTCACTAGAATAAAAATATTTTTTACATATATCACACTTGTAAGGTTTCTCGTCAGTGTGTATACGAATATGCATAACCAAAGATCTCTTTTGAATGAAACTCTTCCCACAGACTGTACACTTATATGGCTTAACACCGGTGTGAGTCCGGACATGTTGTGTCAAGTTACTCAGAACATTAAACCCTCTCCCACACTCTTGACACTTATAAGGTTTTAGTCCGAAGTGTATAACTGTGTGTCTGTCTAAGCAGTCTTTCCTATGAAATCCTTTCTGGCACACACCACACCGGAAAGGTTTATCACCGGTGTGTGTACGGTAGTGCATGACAAATGCACACCGTTGATGAAAACTTTTTACACACTGATCGCACTTGAATGGCTTTTCTTGTGTATGTGCACGAATGTGTATTCTCAAAGTGTCTTTTAATGTAAAACACATTTTACATATATCACATATAAACGGTTTTTTCTTAATCTTTTTCATTGTTTGTAATTTTACAATTTTCAATATATTCTCTTTGTCAATATCGCTGAATGTCACTTTTTTTACTATTTGTTTTTTTGGAATATATGTTTGTTTGTTTTTATTGTTTTGTATTAGAGATTTGCTTTTATTTATTGTGTTAATTTTGGTGTGAGTGTTTGTTTTTCTCTGTTTAGGTTTCTTTGCATTGTTTGCTTTCATATTTTCGGTATTTTCTTTCGGCGTTGTTGGACTTGATTCCTTTTGTATAAGAACACCTATGGAATTTAAATTATGTATAATATTTATCGATGAAAAATAAAGCTATACTAAACGCGAAAATTTAATAAAATAATTTATAAATATAAAATTACTGACTGACTCACTGATTCAACAAACTTGACATTGTCGCAGCTGGTGCTAAGATAGGATTTTTGGAAATTTCACCTCTAAGGGGATGAAATAAGAAACGAAGGGTACATTAGAAATTTTTCAATGTCAAAGTTAGAAATAAGAAATAATACCGCGAGAGCAGATGGGGCAATCATCATCAACAGCCTTTACTAGTCCACTGCTGGACATAGGCCTCTCCTTAGGAAGGAGGTTTTGGATGGGGGCAATAGCTAGTAAAAAATATAAATTAAAGAAATCATCTCACTGAGACTGATGCTCCAATGTCTTAGTCTGCAACGAGAGCCTATTCTTCAGCCTAGACGGTTCGAATAATGGTAACCTAGTCCTTTCCTCTACTCATATAAAGTCCACTGAATCAGTGTCCACTGTATCAAAATGTCCTCTGTATAAACAAATGTCCAAAGTCAAATGCTGAATTTTTTTTTTTTTTAAGGTGAACTTAAAGAATGTGAACCTAGTGATATTTCGGACTTTATGATATCCTGAACTTTGTGGACACTGTGATTCAGTGGACTTTATGTGACTAAAGTGGTCCTTACTTCAGGGTGTGGAGGTCGTATCGGTCTAGGAATATCGAAGGCGATAATTTGTTCCACAGATTGGTTGTGCGAGTGAAAAAAATTCTCGAAAAGCCCACAGTGGTGCATAATAGTTAAAAAAAAAAAAATGTACATTATAAAAACGTCTTCTACATTCCCTCTTCCATAAAAAAAATAATTACTTACCTGTTTTATTGTTCGAGAGTGTTATTCTCTCTAAAACAACCCTTAAAACTTTTGGACACACATCTTTTTTTGGTGATAGGGACTTTATATCTGTCCTTAAATTACTTTGACCTAGATTTACGTTTGTCCTTATGCAATCATCCTTTGAGTCTACATCTGTCCTTAAGATATTTTCTTCTAAAGTTAGGCCCGTCTCTATGATGTTTGAGTCTTGGATTCTTTGCTCCAATGTTACATCTGTTTTGATGTCATTTTTTACTATTGTTGAATCTGTCCCCATGTTTTCTTCTACGATTATTATGTCATTGTCTATGAGGTTTACGTCTGTTCTTTTGGGAGACTGTTCTGGGGTTACGTCTATGCTTAAACTATTTGCTTCTACCGTTCGGTCTATACCCAATTCATTTTCCTTCTGAGTTAATACTGTCTTTATTCTATTCTCTTCTATAGTTAGATCATCTATTTCTGAAAATATAAATATACCATCAGTATGATTACAAGCAGAGGCCATATTGGATTTAGTTCTGAAATCCTTACCCCAGGAGTGGAATAAAGATTTTTTTTTGATAATTTCTCTTTCCTTCTCTTTCCCTTACATCTCATTTGAAAGAAATTTGCTAATATTCATGTTAAAGGACAATAATAAATATCAATATTAAATAATTTTAAGAGTAGTGTGGCAAATCATAATTATGGTTTTAATTGGTTCAATTGCAGAAAACCGGGTTCACCAGCAGCATTGCCGATGGCGAGATATCCAAGACCTTTACCGCTCACCAACAATTGTATACAGTGTCTAACAGTTAGAAGCCATTAATGAAATTAGCATGAAGTAGCATAGTGGTATACTTACTTACAAGTAAGCATCATCTATACTAATATTATAAATGCGAAAGTGTGTCTGTCTGTTACCTCTTCACACTTAAATTGCTGAACCTATTTAAATGAAATTTGGTATAGCCTTGGCCTTAGACCTTTATATTTTGAGTCCCAGGAAAGGATATAGGATAGTTTTTATCTCAGAAATCTTCCTTTAAGAGGGTGAAAAGGGGGGTGGTTGTTTGTATGGGGAATTAATAATCGCAGATTTAGATGAAATTTGGTAGCTAGATAGCGTGAGATAACCGACTTACACGAGGGCGGAGTCGCGCAGAAAAGCTAGTTAACAGTAATTATTGTATGTAATTGTATATATATATATAAAATACAAGAAGGTTTTGGTACAAACAGATAGAAAGCAAACAAAGTACCTTAGTATAAAATATTTTGTAGTGTCCCTCAGAATTTGTTACGTGAGTCAGTGTGTATATCAACCAGGTCGCGGTAACTATTGAGCAGTTTGGAAAGTAGTGGAATGGCTGAGTTTGCACTGAGATTATTTCTGAGAAGCGGAGAATTCAGGGGGTGATGGCATCTTCATCCTATACCTACTATATAACTCTTTATTTATTCCAGAAAATCAACTCAAGTTAACTACTCCAGTATACTGTAGTGTTAAGATACCTTCCGCATTTTCATGTTCAATTTTAACATCAACACAGAGTGCGGGAACGTCTCCTCCTATAAAGTGTATATTCTCTTCATCTGTCCTGGTTAAGCTGAGCTGCAGAACTGGATGAACAATACTCAGCCTCTTTGTAATTGGCCTGTCCTTCGGGTGTAACTGCAATTAAATGATAATAAGTTGGATTCCGATAAGTTGTCCGTGTGGTGACGGATTAAGAATACAAATTGTCAGCACCCCAATTCATCCCGTGGGTGTCGTAAGAGCTGACTAAGGGAGCAAACTAAGCAGGTCAACAGCACTGCAAAGAGAAGGAAAACTTGAAACAAACCCTAGACCAACCCGTCTGGCCAGCGTGGTATAGTAGGCCAAGACCTCCTTTCTAAGGAGAGGCCTATGTCCAGCAGTGGACTAGTATAGGCTGTTGATGATGTTGATGAAGTTGGATTCATTGATGTGGTATCGGTTGCAAACAAGTAGACAATTGGACTTATGGTGAGTACCGACGCCCGTGGACACTTGTAACTTAACAGACAGATGTGCATTACCACTCTTTGAATGCTCAACCAGAATTACCAAGGGGGATTTTTTTTTTAAATTAAAAGAACCCCACACTAAGAATACATTCTCTGTCTGTAGGAATTTTTACAAACATGCATGAAATGGGCAAGAAAAAAAAACAAAGATTCAGAATAACAATTAGTGGATCACACAAAGTGTTGTTCCATGTGGGGTTGTACCCATAACATTCAGGAAGCAGCGAGGTGACCGCTTAAACCACTAAACTGTCCATAAGTTATGTAAGTATACATTTCAAGTGAAATTGAAATATTTCTTACCGTTTTACTGATGAGCATCTGTGTGAACAATTTTTCACTCCGGAGACACCGCATTTTTAACTGGTATGAGTTTTTGAGTTCAGCATAGCAAATGTAACAGGTGAATATTGGTCTGTTGTCTTCAGTCTCAAACTGTAAATTGTTAAGGATATATAATCTAATGCAGCAGACGGGTCACCTCCTGGTAAGTGATTACCGCTGCCCATGCCTGCGACTTAATAGACATAAGTGCATTGCTGTCCTATCACTCCTCTGGAATCAGAGGGAGCCCAAAACCTTTCTGGCTTTAGGTTTCCTAAAGTTCATTCATTCAGTGGAAAGCTACTAGATTTAAAACGGTCAAGCTTGGCCTATTCATGTTGAAGCATGACTCCAACGGTTGACAATTTACACATTTACATTAGTTTTATTAACTTACTTAGTTATTAAAAAATATTTGGTTTTATTACAATAGTTTTAATCTATACAAATAAATAAAACTGAAGTGTCTGTTTGTAATATAGAAAAAATAGGTTATTTTCATGCGCAAACGGTTATTTGCAGGATACCTAGGCCTAAAAACTTAGTTTAAATATTTTTGTCTGTCTGTCTGTTTGTTCAGGGTAAGCTTCAAAACGGCTGGACCGATTTTGATAATATTTTACTACCAGATAGCTATCTATATAGAGTAGTTTTTTTTAGGGTTTTTGTGAGAAAAGTGCACTTTGCACTTTCCTCACAAAAACCCTATATAATTTTGCCCAGTGGGAAATCAAACCCCAGTCCTCATGGACCGCAGTAGCGTACATACTACATCAGAAGCTGATACCTACAGAACATGCAATACATAAATTAATAACAATCAGATCAAACATCAGGAAAATATAATAACAAAAAAAAATACATACAGTGAAACATAGAACCTCCTCCTTTTTTGAAGTCGGTTAATAATTAAGTGGTCAAATAAAGGTATTAGGATAAAAAACGTGTCTGTCTGATGTGAAATGTCTATCAGACAGACATGCCCATGTGTGAAGATATTATTAATAACTACTCTCTGATCATAACAAACCACCTAGGTTACTGAAAAGGGCATTAGATACCTTTTGTCTAGGCAAATATTAAACGTCTTCACTAATAAGATTTATTGACACAATCTACGTAAATGTGTGGTGATGTATTAAGAATATGGAGTGTCAACACCCCTATTCTTGCTGTGGGTATCGTAAGAGCCAACTATGCACCAAAGAGAAGGAAAACTTGAAACAAAACCTATAAATGCCAACCCATCTGGCCAGGGTGGTATAGTAGGCCAAAACCTCCTTCTGAGGAGAGGCCTATGTCCAGCAGTGGACTATTAAAGGCTGATGATGATGATATAAATAAAATGGAGAAGTGACGAAAGATCAATTTAAAAATTATTCTTGATACTTACTGGTTTACATGTCAATGCTTCATATATAGTTTGAAGATGTGTTTCAGAGATTAAATGCATTTGAACGTCTTCTACCAGACAAATTCTACACATCCACAGTTTTTCCATTCTTGATATTAGTGAAAAAATTTAAACTCTGTACTATTCACGTTATTTTTTTTAATAATTCCGTATCAAACACTATAGGCAGCCAGGCTCATCACTGTTGTTCTGTGAAGAAATTACTTTTTCTTTTAAAACTAAAAAAAATTGATACGTGTAGTAAATAGCAATATATACTCATAGCAAGGATCAATAATATAAAATAAATGAGACTAACAAATTATGTCTTTTTTTTATACACGTTTCGTCTTTTCACGATAGCGCCTTGCTGCATTTGCTGACAATTCTTAGCAAAAACTTGTATAACTCATAGACAATATTAAAAATATAGGTTAGACATTATTATTGTTAAGTTACACACATCACAGTAAATACGAATATGCTTACAAAGTTTACCTAATGATGATTAATTTATATGTTTGTATTACACAAACAGTCAATAATATAATTTAATAATATTTTGTGATCTTCATTGTATCTACCACCATCCGTTTGGCAATGGCAATTGTAATTTTAATTTGGCATTGTCACTAGACAAAATAATATGACAAAATCACAGTGAAAGTGAACTGTGATTTATCATTCGAATTTACGTAGGTTAGGGTTGCTAGGTAGGTAGGTTAGAGGCTATTTAACACTAAATCTAGTATTTTTTAATTATTATGCAGGGAATAGTTGCTATATATAATAAAATAATTATTAGATTTACGGTTAAATAGGTGAAATAGGGTCTTTATGCATCGTCTGAAAACAGATAATTGGCAACAACGCGTGAGTAAGTAGTAACCCTAACCTATGTGAGAAAAAATGGAATGATAAATCACGGGTCTTCCACAGTTCACTGTGATTTAGTCCCATTCCTAATTGTCAGGAATGTCAACTTCAACTTTTGGTTAATGGCTTTGTGGTAGAGTGTAACCACAATTTCGCCAATGTCAACTTCAACTTCTGGTTAATGGCTTTGTGGTAGAGTGTAACCACAATTTCGCCAATTAGTCCAGTCATTATAGTAAGTTCGCCTCGGAATTCGAGATACCCATCTGTAAGTCTGTAAATACTTGTATATTGACACCCTAAAAGTTGTCTCAAAACCTACATATGGTAGGGTGTAAGCAACTATTAAATTTCAAAGGTCAAAAGTCACAAAAATCGGTTTATTGCGCTTTTTTTGGAAATATCTCATTTCCTATGGGTTTCTGCTATTTGTATTCATTATCAATATTGTAGAATACAAAATTCTCTACAAATTTTGTTTAATAAATTTTTTTATACGGTGAACCGTTTTCGTAATAGAGGGCGGAGAGCGCGCGGTTACAGCATTACTTCAGGTCAACCGGTGCCTCCGGTCAAAAACGCGCCATATATAGTTGATGAACTATCGATAAATCAATGATTATAAATAAAAATTGTTCGGCCCAGAGATTATTAGAGAGTGGAACTCAAACCTTATTGGCAGTCTATAATGCTCCGAAATCTGTGAAAAGTCTCGATCATCTTCGTTATATGCATTACGTCAAGTCTACAAAACTTAATAAACCTGTGCAGCTTTCAAATATTCCACCAACAAGTGCAGCTGCTCATCAACATTTCAACCGTGTATATTATCAAGTTCAAACTTGGTTAGGACATGATTTGGAACCCCAGGTATGGGGTTGGACAATGTGAAATGATTTTCTGGAGCCTATCATGACAATTTTACCACCTGCTCCAGAAGATTTGCTAAATACAATTTTCTGCAACTGCAAGAGTGGTTGTGGTTCACGATGCGGATGCAGGAAAGCGGGCTTGCAATGCTCTTTAGCTTGTGGCCAATGTAATGGGCAAGCTTGTCTCAATGCTCTACCATATCAGAGCGACATTAACGGAGATGGAACCTTTAATTCATAATTTATTTGTTTTTTTTTTTCATCATGTAAGAAGTTATTAATATTAATTAGGTTAAAATTGAAATGTTATTCCTATATTTTCATTAACAATTCTGCAATTACACGGGCAGGTAAGTGTTGTTAAATAAATTAATACTGAATAAAAAGTGGATAAGTTAGGAAAAAAATTATAAAATTTAATATAATAGTTAATAAAAATTGACAAATATTTATAATCATTGATTTATCGATAGTTCATCAACTATATATGGCGCCTTTTCGACCGGAGGCACCGGTTGACCTGAAGTAATGCTGTAACCGCGCGCTCTCCGCCCTCTATCTCGAAAACGGATCACCGTATAAAAAAATTTATTAAACAAAATTTGTAGAGAATTTTGTATTCTACAATATTGATAATGAATACAAATAGCAGAAACCCATAGGAAATGAGATATTTCCAAAAAAAGCGCAATAAACCGATTTTTGTGACTTTTGACCTTGAAATTTAATAGTTGCTTACACCCTACCATATGTAGGTTTTGAGACAACTTTTAGGGTGTCAATATACAAGTATTTACAGACTTACAGATGGGTATCTCGAATTCCGAGGTGAACTTACTATAATGACTGGACTATCATTCATTGACTAATGAAGACTCTGGAACTGGTGACTTAAACTTCTATTGAAAACAAGTAATTTTTGTAACTTCATAGCTATTACAATACATAGCATAACTCACTATAAAAGGTCTTAGCAGAGGGGTAACAAATACCCATATTTTGCCATCTTATTTCAATCTCGCTTATCAGGACGAGTAATTTCGTGGAAAAGAGTGGAATAGTGTAACAGGGAGCCGAGAAAGTGACTTGACCAAAGATCACTTAGTGCGTACGTAACACAGAGTATATTGAATGGACGCATTACGTTGCTAGAGTTGGTCGTTGGATGATAGGTGAGATATAAAAAAAACTTTATTTGTAAAGAACCAATTTCACATTTACACATCATAAATGTGACTACCATTAGCTTAATGATAATAATTAACGTTTAAAAACGTTTCACTGACTTCATTGCGCCTTCATTGAGGGGTTGAAATAAAATATGTCCGCCATTTTGTGGTGGCGGCCATCTTGGATTTACAAGGATACTGAACATAATTTATAAAAAAATATTTAAAAAAATAATAGTTTTAAAAAAGTAAAAAACCCGCTTTTAATAGAAAAAAAAGCGTTGGGTGCCTGTTGTCAATAGTAAAAAGCGCCCCAGGTTTTTTAAAACTATTTTTTTTCTTTTTTTTTTAAATTAATGTATTGTCATCGGTCCTCGATATATCTACAAAGTTTGAACGAATTCTGACCGTTTAAAGTCAGTCAAAATCACGCCCAAAGGAGTCGGTTACAAACAAACATACAACTGAAGCTAATATAAAGCGTGTAAATGGGGTATTTTTGACCCCTGACGGAAATCAAAGGGTATTACAAGTTTAACCTGTTTATCCAGGCGGGCCTGTTGGTCTAGTGGTTAGTGACCCTGACTGCTAAGCCGGACGTCGTGGGTTCTCGATTCCCACCCAGGACAAGTATTGTGTGATGAACACGATTATTCGTTCTGTGCCTGCGTGTAATTTATCTATGATATGTATGTATGTAGAAGTATATACATCAGTAAATTTATCAGCAGTCTGGTTACCATAGCACAGGTCTGGTTGCCTAGTTTGGCATCATACTGCGGTGTTTAAAATATGTCAAGTTATTATTATTATTAATTATGATATGACTTTTGTAAAAATGGTAATGGTTGTAAAAAGAGTTTTCTATCTATCTATCTGTCTGTCTGTCGCATCATAACTCCCTCATGGATGGAGCAATTTTAATTCGGTTTTTTTTGTTCGAAAGCCATCTGTTTTAAATTTTGAAGATCATTAGCTCACTTCGTAGGGGATGAAGGAATCTGACTGAAATAAACAGGTCCGATTGATCTGAAATTTGGTATACTGTTACTTTGATCGTATTTCCACGACATGGTAACCTGGAGCTTGCTGCTGCATCAAGTAGTCTGCGGAATAGCCAACTCCTTAGAAAATTACACCATGTATACCATGTTTGGGCTTTACACTAATTTTTTTGTGTCGGGGTTTTTTTTTATATTGTGGGAAAAATCTAAAAATGTCTTATTCATATAGCAGCAAAAAATACTAAAATTGTTAGTTTTAGCTCATAAAATAAAAATAAATTTAAAAAAACAGTTAAAAGTTTTCAGTTTTTTTAATCTGTTTTTTTACCATCTTGAAGTAGTAGCCACCATGGTAACACGTCATACAGCTGTGCAAACTTAAAACAATTAGAGTCAACTGTCAACTGATCGCATTTGATTACACAGCTAACTGACGTCATGACTACGGAGCAATAAATATGTCGTCACCTGCGTTCAGCGTTTTTCTCACATCACCTTCGAAATTTGAAACTGTCACATCCATTGCTGGACATAGGCCTCTCCTTAGAAAGGAGGTTTTTGCCTACTATACCACGCTGGCCAGACGGGTTGGTATAGGGTTTGTTTCAAGTTTTCCTTCTCTTTGCAGTGTTATCTTGAGTAGTTTGCTCCCTTAGTTGACTCTTACGACACCCACGGGATGAATAGGGGTGGTGACATTACGAATTCTTAATCCGTCACCACACGGATTGAAACTGTAAATGGCACTTATCGATTGAATAAAAATGTTGTGTTTTTAGTGGTTTATTACCGCTATTGAATCTAATTGTGATACTTTAAAGATCATACAAAAACATAAAAATAAAATACAAATATCCCAAAGTAAAAGTTAAAATATTTATACTGATACAAGAATGCTACACTTTATCCGATAGTTTCTAAAACTTTCTACTAGAAGGCGGGAGTAGTTCTGACGTTTAGCTTAGAATGGACATCTAGGATCTGTAAAAAAGAATTAAATATTTATGAATGATGATAATTCTGAGGTTTTTCAATAAACCACTTTATTAACCCAAAAAAATATGTACTAGACATTTTTAAAATATGTATTAATTCGATTTTGAGACTGATGGTTTGAACTTTGAAATAAACCGTTAAAACTTTTCAAAAATATTTCGTAAGAAAATCTAGTATCGAGTACAAACATAAAAATGAAAATTAGAATAAAAATTAATTAAAATTAAGTTAGAATATTTACAACATTTACACTATCTACATACAAGCATCAAAAAATTCCTCCGCATCATCGCCTACTGGTAGCGTTCCCAGAAGACTGGCAGCATTGCCACGTTGAATGGCAATGCTAATTCTCTGTGCTAGAAGAAGACCAGCCTTCTGATCACGAGAAGTGTCAATTAGTAGTTTAGCTAGCTGTTTGTTTGTGTTCGTAAGAGGCTGTAATTAATGATATGATAGGTAAAATACGTAAATACGTTAAATAGGTAATTTTTTTCGCAAAATTCTGTGACATATGGGATCTACTGGGTCTACCAATAGGGATGACCTGGTTTTGACAGCTCATAGCGGCCATGTTTGATGATGGATCTTTGACGTCTCTTGACATTTGTGTTCAGTAAGGTTTGCCATTTTATCATGTCACGTTTCACTTTAAACCAACGCTTGGAAATTGTCCAAAATTATTACGCAAATTCGCGTTCTCCTACCGCTACAGTAAGAGCGCTTCGCGCAAACAACGGTCGTCATAGTGCTCCTTCTGTGCGCGCTATAAATCGCATAATAACAAAATTTGAAAGTGAATTCACTCTCCACGACACTGGTGTGCCTGTGAGACAATGAAATGCCCGTAGTGAAGAGAATATTGCAGCCGTTCAGGCCAGTGTTGATGCGAATTCAAATCGATCAGTTCAAAGCCGTTCACAAGAGTTGGGGCTCTCTCCAATGACCACCTGGCGTATCTTGCGGTTGGATTTGGGCCTACACCCATACAAAATTGTTTTGGCACAAGAATTGAAGCCATCCGACCATTGTATCCGTCGTGAATTTGCCGATTATGCACTGGAAATGATGGAAGCCGATGACGATTTTCATCGTAAAATCATCTTCTCAGATGAGGCCCATTTCTGGCTCAATGGACTTGTTAATAAACAAAATTGTCGCTATTGGAGTGAGTCAAATTCACGTGTGGTTCATGAATCGCCATTGCATCCGCAAAAAATAACAGTTTGGTGCGGTTTATGGTACGGTGGAATCATTGGTCCGTACTTCTTTGAAAGTGACGAAGGAAACCCTGTTACTGTGAATGGCGAGCGCTATAACTCGATGTTTACCGAATATTTCTTTCCGGAATGTGATGATATTGATGCAGACTGCCTTTATTTTCAACAAGACGGTGCACCACCTCACATTACTCGAGTGAACATGGAATTATTGCGTGGAAAGTTTGGTGAGTCGTTAATTTCGAGAAATGGACCGATCAGTTGGCCACCAAGATCGTGTCATTTAACACCTTTAGACTATTTTCTTTGAGGTTACGTTAAATGTAAAGTGTACAGCAATAATTCAGCTACAATTCGTGACCTAAAAACCAAGATTCGACGAGCCATAGCCGACATACCGGCTCATCGAAAATTCACCGCGTCGTCGAAAATTGGCGTGAGCGGGTGACAGTCTGCAAAAAGAGCCGCGGCGGTCATTTGGCCGATATATTACTTAAAACATAAATTGCATAAAATTATCTATCAAATAAATTAATCGGATGCATTTTTCATAAAAAATTGTGTGTTTTATTCAATTTTTAAACCAGGACGTTCTTATTGGTAGACCCCATATATAGGACTATATAGGAAAAAAATCTGTGATTTCATACAAAATGAACGATGCGATGCGGTGGCGATTCATTTCCACAGAATTTTGCGAATAAAAACATGTGGTAAAATATCGCAGAGACGAGGCATTATAATTTGATTAATATCAGCCTCTTACGAAATATTTTTGAAAAGTTTTAACGGTCTCAAAATCGAATTAATAAATATTCCTGTAAAAAGACGGTTCTTGGATTATTTAGGGCTCTAGCTACCTGTAACGATTGCCACAGATGTTCATATACCGTGACCGATGGCTTAACGTGCTCTCCGAAGTACGGAGGGATCTCAATTGTCACCCATCCATAGACTGGCTTAGCTATGTTTCTTAACTTTGCAATTTGCTAATCTACTCGGTCCCACTAAGCCACGAGCCAAATCAATCATTACCTATAATTTATACTTACAAATTACACAGTTCTTAAACTTACCAGATTTGCCCAAAAGGTCTAGAGACTTGCACTTGATATAACCAAGTATAACGTCGTTTGCGTTTTGGTTATACACTCTCCCGCGTGACGTCACTCCGTTACTATCAATAAAAGGAACTGATAGAATACATGGGTGTCGTGAGACCAACTCGATGTCTGGAACCAAATGTTAAAAGATATTTTTTTTTTTTTTTTACGTGTGGGAATCCCCTCGGACCGTCACCCCACCGGGGTTTGCGGCGGGGTGGTGTGTCGGACTCGAACCGACTAAAACCACACGGTGTGCCACTCTGCGCCTGTAGTAGGAGGGATCCGGGAACAGCTGTTATTCGCGGCACCGTGCGACTAACGTGTGACTTCGTATGCTAACAATTTTAATATTGTTTTCTGTGCTTTTATGTGACTAGTTTCCGGTTTGCGGGCGGCTAAAGGTTGTGTATAGTGTTTCTAAAGAATTTCAGTAAGTTTTATTGTTTTCTAAACATAAATATAGTGCCGAATTCTTTTATTACGACTATTGGTGAGTAAATTTATTATCTTACTAAAAGTGGGTAGGCGGTATCCTTTGTTTAAATTGATTTTTCTCTGCGTATTGTTTATTTTTGAGCATGTTTTTTTTTTTTTTTTTCTTTTTTAAGTTGTTGATTGGTGTGTCTTTGTTTGGCTATGTCGGTCGTTAGCGAGTTGCCGGATCCCGGCGGTACAAGTGAATTTCTAACACCAACCGGGAAAAGGACATTTGGCGAAGTGTCACCTGCGGATTTCACGCCGAAAGACGGAAGCCGTAGACGCATTATTAATTCGGACTTAAGTGGAATTGTTTCGTCTCCTACCGGTCGTGATAACTATGGGGAGTACAATTACTGTGACTTAGTGTCACAGGCCACCGATTACTTATCAAAAATTAATGAATTAGTTAATGATCAGGGATCTCGGATGAATGTAGGGAATAAAACGGCGATTATGGATATTACTCAACGAATTACCGGTATCGTATCAATGTTAGCAATAAAATCCTTTAGCAACGAAGCGAAGTTAGCGAATTTTGAGCGACAAATGGAGGGTATCGCAACTCAACAAACGAGTTTAACGTACGCGGACAAACTTAAGCTTCGCTTACCACCTAAATCTGCCCCGTGCCCGGTACCTACTGAAGCGCGCGTTCCTAGGCCTTGTGTTATTGCCTATCCCACTACGGAACGCTTAGCGGACTATGCGACCTCGTCAGCAACGAAACAAGCTCTTATGAAGGCTATTAAACCGAGCGATGAGGGTTTCCAAATTGTAGGCGTTAAAAAAACCTCTAAGGCAGGCGTCGTGTTACGTGTAGCTAACGAACGGCAGCTTAAGAAACTGGAATCTGTAGACGCCATTAAATCAGCAGGTTTACGATTAGAAAAACCGAAAGGCCGAAAGCCCTGTATAATTGTAAAAGACGTACCCGGTTCTATGGAAGATCGTGCCTTCCTAACAGCTTTATACCGTCAGAATATCAAGGACGAATTAAAATTAAGTGAGAACGATTTTATTAAGTCAACCAAAATTGTTAGGCATCGTTAACTAGAAAATGGGCGTCAATGGATAGGCTTAGAATTGGAGGCAGCAGTTCGGAAACATCTAGCCAACACAAAAGATAAACTTTATATAGACTGGGCCACTTGTCGATTCATAGACGATATAGAAGTAGTTCGTTGCTTAAATTGTCAGCAATTCGGTCATGTACAAAAGTTTTGCACCATTAAAACCCCTACTTGTGCTAATTGCGCCGCCGCACACGAAACGCGAGCTTGTCCAGATAAAGACACACCAAATTTTAAGCCCACGTGTGCACAGTGCAAGCGGTTCAAAAAACCATCTGACCATCGATGCGGCTCACACGACTGTGCCACATACAAATTAAAACTGGAGCAGCTCATATTAAATACCAATTACTGAATAGTTCAGCTTAAAAAAAAAAAAAAAAAAAAAAAAAGTTTATAGAGTAACTTACTAAGTAATGGATAATATTTCGATAGGCCAGTTAAATCTTCATAACGATAAAATAGCTACATCAGAATTAGACCGTTTAATTTTAGAACAAAAGTTAGACATTGTCCTTATACAAGAACAATATCAGAGCGCTCGCTTGCGTCGTAATGTAGTACAGCTTGACTGCCGTTCGCAGGCTGGGATATATGTTGCAAGTTCTAATTTTACGGTAACATCTTTGCGTAATCTTATGACGTCACACTGCGCCGTTGCTGAGATCTCATCCTCTACCTGTAAGGTTTACGTAGTGAGCTGCTATTTTCAATATTCACATCCTATTGATCCTCACTTACATCACTTACGTTACGTCTTGCAGTACCTCGTGGGACATAAAATTATCATTGGCGCTGATGTCAATGCGTCATCTTCATTATGGTATGGCAAGTTGCGTTCAACCGACACGGTTCGACGTTGTGCGGTTGAAGATTTCATTGCGGCAATGAATCTTACTATTCACAATACCCCCGATGCACCACCAACTTTTTGCAACCCAATGGGTGAGTCTTCTATTGACGTGACGCTTACGCGCGGCGACGTCTCGATATCCGGATGGCGTGTCCTCCCGGACGCATCCTGTAGTGATCACCGCTTGATCGTGTACGAATTCATACCAAGGGTTGCACGGGATCCACAAAGGGCTCCTTTTAATTTTAGATATAAAACTAAAGGTGCGAACTGGGCTTTGTTTGGTTCACTATTTGCAACTCATACCAAAGATTTCAGTCGCAGTAGTTTATCAGCTGAGGAAAGCGCAGAAATACTATCAGAAACTTTCACATACTGCGCTGATGTATCTATTGGTCGCGGATCTATCACTAACACTCGTAGATGTGATTGGTGGAATGATAGATTAGTCGAACTACGTAGAAGCTACCGGAAAGCTCGTAGAAAATTAAACAATTTTAAAAAACACAACGTAACAGGAGATTTGTACAATAATGCTCTCATTGCTCTTAGAGTTGCCAGGTCCCACTACAGAGCTGCAGTGGAAAAATCGAAGGGAAACTTAATTCAGAAACTTGTCGATAGACTCGATAGAGAGGGCCCGTAGTCACCTTTGTATCACGAATTTAAGGCAAATAGATCAATCGACCTTGCATACATACAGAACATCAAAATTAATAACAGATATACCACAGGAGTAGAAGAAACAGCAGAATATCTTTTAGAATCACTCGTACCTGACGATCGGCCGGAAAACGACACTGATCATCACCGACAGATCAGGCAGTGGGCCATCGAACCACCACTGTCTCCAATGTCTGATTTACCATCTTCAGACGAATTTCTCGGTGTCATTAGATCCTTGCCACTAAACAAGGCTTCGGGCGATGATAAAATATCTAACAAAATGATCAAAGAAGCTTGTAAACTTTCGGGTGACACGATTTTCACTGTCTTTAAACGTTGCATTGCTGAAGGAATATTTCCTCGTATATGGCGGTGCGGTAATATTCGTATAATACCAAAAAGTGGCGACAAGCCACCGGATGATCCTAAATCCTACCGACCAATCACATTGTTACCATCGTTAGGAAAGCTTTTAGAACGTCTTGTAGTGCCCCGGCTTCTGCCAGGTGGAGTCAAATTTCATGATAGACAATTTGGATTTACGTTGGGTAAATCGACAACTGACGCTGTTATATCGGTTAGAAAGTTTGTCACAGAGTCAAAATTTCAATACGTGCTGGCTATTTTCTTAGATATATCTGGCGCCTTCGATAACGCATGGTGGCCCATGCTGTTGCTGAAATTAAAATCACGGGGGTGCTTTAAAAATATTTATTCCCTTATATCTTCGTACTTTTCACAAGGTACTACTAAACTAAGACTTGGTCATCATTCTGTGTCGAAGGCGCTTACAATGGGATGTCCTCAGGGATCGGTGCTAGGTCCATACTTGTGGAATATCGGCTTCGACGATTTTCTTGCGATACCAATACCATCCGGATGTACTCTGAACGCGTATGCTGATGACGGCTTATTACTGGTGGAATCTGATACTAGGGCGGGGCTTGAGAGATTAGCCAATAGATGTTTGAACTTGATATCTCAATGGGGTGAACGTAATCGCTTAAATTTTGCACCCAACAAAACCTTCCAGCTACTTTTAAAAGGTAACCTCAAATCACCGCCAAGCATTAGATTTGACAATGTTACTGTAAAAAATAAGGCCTCAGTGTGTTACCTAGGATTAGTTTTAGAAAGAAACTTTTCATTTATCGAACATATTAAAATAGTTAATGAAAAGTCTAAAAAGAGTTTCTGTGCATTGACAAGGATATCAACTGCGACATGGGGTCTATCATTTAATACATTAAAGATCATATACGGAGCTACTTATTTAGGTTCTATGTGCTATGGTGCACCTGTATGGGCCGATAGGGCGACCGTAGGCGCTGTCCGTCGCAAACTGTTACAAGGCCAACGACTTGCACTGATATTCTTGTGCAAGGCATATAGGACGGTTAGCACCGAGGCTTTGCCGGTGTTGGCGGGTGTGCTTCCGGTCGATCTCGAAGTGCAGAGACGTGCAGCCATGTACTATTCAAGACAACAAAACATGGAATGCGATTTTTTGGGCGCGCGGGATCGCGGTAAAATTACAAGATTGCTTCAACAGCAGTCCGATGTCTATAATGACCTCATAGACGAATGGCAACAACGCTGGGATGAATCATCCAAGGGGCGCCATCTTTACCAATTCTTTCCATCTGTTCGCGAACGGTTGTCGAGGACATGGCTTGAGGTGGATCACTGTGTCGCTCAATTTCTTACGGGTCATGGTAACTTTAAGAGCAAGCTTTATTCATTTAAATTAGTCGAGTCACCATTGTGTCAATGCTCAACACCTAACTCTCATTATGAACAATCTGCTCATCATATCCTCTGGGAATGTAGTCTTTGGTATAATGAACGTAACATAATGCTGAATAGCTTGCAGGTGACATCTGGGGCGGTATACTATGGGGATCTTGTGTCAACTAGGGTGAATTTCCGTGCGTTTAGGCGATTCTGTCATACATATTATAGAAATCAAATATAGCTCACGTAGGACCCGTAATATTTCGTGGCCGTGGTGCTTCCCTGTTTAAAAGGGTGTATGCCCATTTTATTTCATTTTGTCTCCCGCTTTGCTAAGGAGGGAAGTGGATTTACTGTGTTTCCAACTCCTCCAATTTTCTTCTGATTAATTTCGTTGCGGGTTCCAAGACAGTTTAATTTCTTCCTGGGACTTCCCGAGTGTCATAACTCGGTGTGTTCGTGGGTCACTGCTGTGGATCCTGGTGTACAGGAGTTACAGTGGTGGGCATGTGGGCGGGATTAGTCCCAAAAAAAAAAAAACAGCTGTTATTAAGACATCCGGACCCCTCCAAGCGCAGGCCCGCTCCTGTTGCGGGCCCCGTCTCAAAATTTTCCTCGCTTTAGGCGACGTCCGGCACACGCGGACGCCGGCAAACTAATGCGGGTGGAGGGGAAACCCACCCCGTCCACCCGCGGCCACACTCAGGGCGGCATGAGGCGGTGATAGGCGCACCTCCGCCGCCCGGTTCGCCGGCGGCGGATCGGGTCTGAGTGGAGTTCGTCCTCCCGGGCCTTCTCCGCCGCCTCCTTCTGCGAGATTACTTCCTCGCAGAAGGTTGTGACCGCGGTAAAACAACTGTCGCTACCGGCCATGGAGCGTAATACGGCCGGTAGCGAGAGATCCACTCCGATGACTGCAGTGAGGGCCCGGCGCTGCGTCGCCCATGCGGGGCAGACCGCCAGCGTGTGCTGGGCCGAGTCCTCACTGCAGTCACAGTGGTGGCAGGCGGGACTCAGTTCCCTCCTAGCGACCGAGTGCAGGTACTTTCCGAAGCAACCGTGCCCGGAAAGCCCCTGCGTCAGCCGGAAGGTAAGGGTCCCGTGCTGCCGCCCTACCCACTCGGCGATGACCGGCTGGAGAGCCTCCACGGCGGCGAAGCCAGCGCGTGGAGTCTCCAGCCGGAACGACCAACGAGCCATCGTGGCTCGGCGAGCGGCTTCGCGCCACTCGCGCACGTCTTCGGGCGGAGGGCGAAATCCGCTCTCCGCCCGGGAGTCAGCCACTCGCCGATAAAGCTCGGCGAGCACTTCCGCCTCCAAATCCCACGGGGGAGTTCCGGCCAACGCGTACGCCACCTCCGTCGAAACGGTGCGGTAACCGCGTATGGCTCTGACCGCCATTACCCACTGAGGGCGCCAGAGGCGTGCCCTACTCTGGGCGGTCAGAGCCGCCGCCCACACCGGTGCACCGTATAGTGCCATTGACCGGACAACCCCCGTGTACAGCCGTCTTGTCGCGACGCTGGGTCCACCCAAATTGAGCAAAAGTCGCCCTAGGGCAGACGCAGCGCCGACCAGCTTTGGAGCAAGCTGTCGGAAGTGCTCGTCGAAGAGCCACCTCCCGTCGAGGATCAGGCCCAGATATTTCAACTGGGCCCGAACCGGTACGAGGACCGAGTTGACCACGATTGAGGCGCCAGGGGATGGACCACGACGGGGCCCATGAAATAACAGAGCCTCCGTCTTATCTAGGGCCACCCGTAAGCCCAGCGCCTCAATGCGCCCGACCACCAGGGAGACTCCCCTTGTGACCAGGCACGCCGCCTCTTGGAAGTTCGCCCCTGTAACCAGAGTATCGTCTGCGTAACAAATTGCACCCAGCCCGGGGGGGAAATCAGCTCGAAGGACCCAGTCGTACCCTATGTTCCACAAGAGGGGTCCAAGAACAGACCCCTGTGGAACACCGCACGACATGGGCCGACACCTCAAATTACCGTCTCGGTCCTCGTACACGACGGTACGCTCCTCTAAATAGTCTGCCACTAGCCGCCTCAGGTACTTTGGCACCCCATGATAGTGGAGTGCTTCCCTGATGCAGCTGAATGGCAGACTATTGAATGCGTTGGCGATGTCCAATGACACCGCCAACAGCACGCCGCCTCAGCTCACGGCCTCTTCGGTCACGGCCCTCAGGCGCAAAATAGCGTCGACTGTCGAACGCCCCGCCCGAAAACCAAATTGGGCGTCCGACAGATCGGGGCCCACCTCGTAGAAGTGCCGGACGATGCGGGCAGAGAGAACCCTCTCAAACAATTTACCCGCCTCGTCCAGCAGCACGATGGGCCTGTAGGCCGTCCCGGCTTCCTTAATAGGACCAGCTTCCCGCTCAACTTTAAACAAACCCTAAACCAACCCGTCTGGCCATCGTGGTATAGTAAGCCAAAACCTCCGAGGCCTAGGTCCAGCATTGGACTATTAAAAGCTTGTTGATACTTTTTTTTTAACGTGTGGAAATCCAATCGGACCGTCACCCCGCCGGGGCTCTCGTTCGGCGGGGTGGTGTGTCGGACTCGAACCGACTAAAACCACACGGTGTGCCCTCTTTGCGCTACCAGTTTAGGAGGGGTCCAGGTAGTTATCGCCTTCTGGACCCCTCCCAGCGCCGGCCCGCTCCTGGTGCGGGCTCCGTCTCCAGGACCTCTCTTTTTAGGCGACGTCCAGCACACGCGGACGCCGCTCCCTCGCGGCTGGCCGAACTAATGCGGGTGGAGGGGAGAACCCATCCCGTCCACCCGCGGCCACACTCAGGGCGGCATAAGGCGCAGGTAAGCGCGCCTCCGCCGCCCGGTTCGCCGGCGGCGGATCGGATCCGAGTGGAGGGAGTCCTCTCGGGCCTTCTCCGCCGCCTCCTTCTGCTAGATTATCTCCTCGCAGAAGGTTGCGACCGCGGTAAAACAACTGTCGCTACCGGCCATGGAGCGAATTACGGCCGGTAGCGAGAGATCTGCTCCGATGACTGCAGTGAGGGCCCGGCGCTGCGTCGCCCATGCGGGGCAGACCGCCAGCGTATGCTGGGCCGAGTCCTCACTGCAGTCGCAGTGGCGGCAGGGGGGACTCGATTCCCTCCTAGCGACCGAGTACAGGTACTTTCCGAAGCAACCGTGCCCGGAAAGCACCTGCGCCAGCCGGAACGACCATCTCACCATGGTAGCAAACGGTAACCTAACCTAATCCAAAAAACTTTTGTTATTATTTAAAATTGTAACTACCCGCCAATTAACTTATAAAGTTTTCTCATCTTTGTTATTATGTCTACAAATATTGACCTGTCCATGTGGTGACGGATTACGAATACGAAATGTCACCACCCCTTTCATCCTGTAAGTGTCGTAAGAGTTAACTAAGGAAGCAATCTACGGTGTACAAACGCAGTGCAATGAGAAAGAAATGTTGACACAAACCCTATAACTACCAACCCGTATAGTCTGGATGGTACAATAGGGTAAAACCTCTCTAAGGATAGGCCTATGTCCAGCAGTGGACTATTAAACGATGATGATGATGATGAATTCCGGAGATGGAAGACGTATGTACCTTTGCATAAGTCCTTTAGATTACGGATTTTCGAAACACGAGACGATCTCATAGTTATTCGCTTGTTTTTTCCTTTTTCATTCAGTTCAGTTCGCCTGTTTTCCCGCCGGCCTGAAGACAATTATTAAAAACAATGATTAAGTCACTACCACTGATTTATCAGTGGTAGTGACTTGATGGAAAGAGTCGGGATGTGTGAAAGGTTTTAGGCTTAGCTGTTTGAACCATTGACGGCTAACTCTGGAATGAAGCGAGATTTGCAAATGCAAATGCAGTAGCAAATTTATTTATTTACTAGCTGACCCGCGCAACTTCGTCTGCGTCTCTCAATAGTAATAAATTTTCTCGGTTTTTTAAACATTCTTCATTGCTGCTCCGCTCCTATTGGTCTTAGCGTGATGATATATAGCCTATAGCCTTCCTCGATAAATGGGTTATCTAACACTGAAAGAATTTTTCGAATCGGACCAGTAGTTCCTGAGATTAGCGCGTTCAAACAAACAAACAAACAAACAAACTCTTCAGCTTTATAATATTAGTATAGACTAGCTGACCCGCGCAACTTCGTCTGCGTCTCTCAATGGTAATAAAATTTCTCCGTTTTTGAAACATTCATCATTGGTGCTCCGCTCCTATTGGTCTTAGCGTGATGATATATAGCCTATAGCCTTCCTCGATAAATGGGCTATCTAACACTGAAAGAATTTTTCAAATCGGACCAGTAGTTCCAGAGATTAGCGCGTTCAAACAAACAAACAAACAAACAAACTCTTCAGCTTTATAATATTAGTATAGATTGGAAAGAAGTTCCTTATCACCCGTTACACGCTCTGAGCGGATGGGAGCGGGACCCAAAAAAATGTGTAACAAGACCTTTTTCCGACACTTCTTGCTATAGTTTATATTTTTATAGTAAATTAATAATGTTTTTTCTAAAATTCAAAAAGCATAATTAATAAAATTAACTTTAGAAAGTTCGTAAATTTTTATTAATTTAAGTATCCCAGATCATTCAGTGTTTAATTTATCATAATTTATTTTATACCTGATAAATATATATTTAATAATATATATTTTTCAATTTAACTGTTAATTTGATATTTTATAATATAAATTACAATGACTGTAGAGCAAATGTCTACCAAGAAGCGAAAGGAACTTCGTTCCGACCGGGGGGGGTCCATAGACACCGCAGGCCGTTTTGTTAATTTTTTTTTCTCGTGTTAATATTGTTGCATGTTTTGACACCTTTAAATACTTGTGCATTTAAGCTAGTTTTTAGTAAATTTATTGTTTCATATGCATAATGCTACGTTTACACGCTTGCCAAGGCATGGTAAACGTCCACAAACTCCAGCCAGTCCAAACGTTTCGAGTGTGTTAGTGTGTTCCGGACAAGCAAACATAGCAGACGTGGACGTTGAAGTTTTGTCGCCTATTGCGTTTGGCTTGACATATTTTTATTCAAAATATAAACAGCAACACCAAACACGCGCCAACATGTAGATACGTTACAAGCGCTTGCCGCAAGCTTTCTTTGATCTGCGTTCAAAAACCGACACTATCCCGAATCGGCGACAAACTCACGTTAGCCGAGCTTTACACCCTGTTCACACGCTTGTGTTTGTGGACACTTGCCGAGACTTGCCAAGCATGTAAACTTAACTTAGAATTGAATGTAACAGCAACAGAAAGCCAATTCTCGTCATAGAAGTTCGGTCACAATTTAGTTCTGATCAACTCTGGATCTCGCAACTGCCATATAAGATATTTTCGTAGGAACATAGTAAAGTATTACTAAGATTGGCAGATCACAATGCAATATAATCAAATCGTTGGATGTTTAATACTTTACCACAAAAATACCTTTTGCTTTAAGATCGAGAGTTCATGGGAACTGAATTGAGACCGTACTTTTATTACAAGAATTGGCCTTCTGGTTGTCCTTAGTATATAAATAAATAAACAAACAACGAATTTTAATTGTGATATCAGGTGCGATCTTGTAATATTGCTGATGATGGGACATTGGACTTGTCACAAATGTTGCTTGTTGTTTTATCTACTTACTTTCGCCCCCGTTCGAGCAGCAGTATTGTCTCAAATGACAAGTTGACGGGAATGTCTTGTAAACACCGTGCAGATATTTCACACAAATCATATCGGTATGAGCCGGGCATGTATCAGGGCATTCGTCACTATTTTCCGCGACTGTGAATGTAAAGAAACATGTACATACGTACAAATATTATTAACAAAACGGTAATTATCGATCTGACATACAACTCTATGTTTTTGTCAAAATCGCTCATATACCTAAAGGTCCCTACTTTTTAACGGACTAAAGCTTTAAACTTTACTCGCGGCTTTGCCCGCGTAATTGTCGGTTATGTTATTAAAAGTAGCCTATGTTTTTCCTCAAGAATCAAAGTATCTCTATACCAAATTTCATTGAAATCGTTTGAGCGGTTATTGATTTCCTATACGAAATACCACCCCGCCCCTACTTTCACCTCCTTAAAGGATGATTTCGGGAATAAAAACTACTCTACGTTCGTTCCAGGGACTCGGACTATCTCTATACCAAATTTCATCTAAATCTATTCAGCAGTTTAAGCGTGAAGAGATAACAGACAGACACACTTTCGCATTTATGTATAATATTATTATGAATAAACAATTTTACTCAAGAGTGTATTTCGCATTGGTTTAGGCTCTGCGTTGATCAGTCAGGGCAAGTCATTTTAAATGTATATATTCCAGTAAAAATCTTACCAGAATCATCGGCGTTCTCTGTAAATGTATTAAAACTCATTTTTGGAAACATTATTGTAGGGTACAACGCCGAGAGGGACCTGAAATAACATGGTCCGGGTCCTCCTCGGAGTAGGGCGCCTGAGTCCGGCAGTCGGGATGGTTTTTAGTGGAAACACCACATACTCCTGGCTCCTACATCCCCAAGGAGCCGGAGATCCGAAGGGATTTTCAACCACGTCAACAAAAAAAAAGGGTGCAACGCCCGTACAAGCAGCTGCTTTAAAAAAAATTGGTATGCATTGTTATAATAATCAGTTCGTGATCGAACCGAATCGGGTCCTCCGGACTCCACCGTGTCGTTACCCTAAAACTTGCTGACGTAACTACTAGCTGACTAAACGTGCTCCGCGGTCATTGTGTCTCTTATTATTATAATTTATATTCTATTTTACTATCTTTTATTTGCTGACCTCATCGCAAGGCTAACAACTTTATTGTTGGATGACGGTAGATGGAAAAAAAATACGCCATATTTTATAATACTAACTTTAAAAAAAGTTAGCGACTTAATACATCTACATTATTATTATCATCATCATCAACAACCTATAGCCTATGGGCTTCTCCTTAGAAAAGAGGTTTTGGCCTACTATACCAAGCTGGCCAGACAGGTTGGTATAGGGTTTGTTTCAAGTTTTCCTTCTCTTTGCAGTGCTGTTGTCCTGCGTAGTTCGTTCCCTTAGTCTGCTCTTACGACACCCACGGGATGAATAGGGGGGGTAACACTTCGTATTCTCCGTCACCACACGGACGGACCACGGTAGTTGGGTCAATTAAAGCTAAATTAAGAATCTATTATGAATTTAAATTAAGTGCCTGTTTTGGGAGGGGTTAGTTATAAAACTGATACTTACTCTTGCGTTCTGCGATAGTCTCTTCAGAAAACAGATGGAATACATTTGGGGCTATTTCTTCTAATAATGGTTCACCTTAACAAAAATATAGGATTTTATTCAACTGTAGCCTGTTTTGTAATCTCATAGACCAAATTGACACATGCAGATGTCGAATCTATAAAGAGTTTGTTTGTTTGTTTGTTTGAAGGCGCTAATCTCAGGAACTACTGGTCTGATTTGAAAAATTCTTTCAGTGTTAGATAGCCCATTTATCGAGGAAGGCTATAAGCTATATATCATCACGCTAAGACCAATAGGAGCGGAGCACCAATGAAGAATGTTTCAAAAACGGAAAGAAAATATTACTATTGAGAGACGCAGACGAAGTTGCGCGGGTCAGCTAGTATAAAAATAATGATACCAGCTCTTTTGCGCGGTGATGTACCTACGACGTCGGTTTCTTAATTCGTAACTTTTATCTTTATTAGACAAGCGGTAACTCTATATTAGCGCCGACAGAATTATGAACCTTTATATGTATTGTATTAATAAAGAATAATACCTGAAATGAACAAACAAAAAAAATGTTTTATATATGTACCTATAAAAGCGCGCACACAAAAATTTAAAAGTGCTCGAGTGACGAAATACTCAAGCACATTTAAAATATTATGGGACACTTGGCCTTATTTGGTTTACCTTTTTTCTTATTTGCCTTTTCCCCCTTGTGTCCTTGGAGGTACAGACCTGAAATAAAAATTGTTGTTATTTTATTTATATTATTATTTTTGGTTGTATATTAGAAGCAATAGGGACCAAAGCGTTTTACCGGTCTCCGGGTTTTATTCCACATTTAAAAAATGATCAAGTGACAAAATACTCGAGAACTTTGAAAATAGGATGATGCTACCACTTGGTTTAATTTGGTTTATCTCTTTTCTTATTTTTCCCCATTGCTATTTGCTTGGAGGTATAGAACTGAAATAATTATATTGTTGCTGCTATATTAGTAGCAATAGGGACCGAAGCGTTTTACCGGTTGCCGGGCTTTGTTCCACATTTTAAAAGTGCTCGAGTGACCAAATACTTGAGCATCTGTAACATTACCACCTGCAACTTAAGAGTCACAAGCTGACTGAATCAGGGAGGGCGGGAGACAAGTTCGGTTCCGGTTTCCTCATTCAATCGGTGGAATAGACCAAACTGCTAAAAAGTGGTTTTCAGTGAGACGGCCGGCTTCGTCCACGTGTATGTCGATTATCTCTCTCAAAAAGCGGATAATGTACATAGTTCTCCATTGGTGAAAGAATTTTAAAATCAATTTAGTGGTTTAGCCGTCAAAGCTTAACAAAGAAACAAAGTAATTTTCACATTTATTTTATGAGAATGGATTATTATATTAAAATTAAGTTGACATGCAATCATTATTTTATAATGGAGTTGACTTAACAATTAATTATTAAGGGATCGTAGACGTAAGCATTTGTAACTTATAGCGTTACTTTGATTGTCTTACCTGCTTGCTTTCCCGGAATACTTGAACTATTTTGATCACCGTGAATGTCGTCTATCTGGATCTTATGGCTGGCGTATTCTGAAAAAATATTTGTATTGTTACTTTTGGATTTTTTATGATATAGCGGAGAAAAGAATCACGGGATAGTAAATAACTTTCGCCTCCTATGGCCTATGGACACCTACAAGAGTTGGTGCGTTCCTGACCTTTGAGATATTCGCTCTTTTCTTGAAGGTTTGAAGGTTGCCGGATGCTTTCCTGAGTACTGGTTGAACGAGAAGCTGGTTCTTTTAACGAAGCCGCAACGATCTACGGCGAGCGATCTCCTCTTAAGCGAGAGGGTCCTTTCTATAAGCATCGTCCGACTTCGTACATCTGGCACGAGGTTTCAGATTACCTTTTCAGATTTCAAACGGGTTGTTCGGTCTTTGGCTGTGTTGCGCCTGTGAGCTGTGACTAAAGACCAAGACCAAGACCAAGACCAAGACTGCACGGGTGGCGTAGTGGTTTAAGCGGTCGCCACGCCGCTTCCTACTACGCCGAGTGTTGTGGGTTCAAACCCCACATGGGACGACACTTTGTGTGATCCACAAATTGTTGTTCTAAGTCTGGGTGTTCTTTGTGTCCGTTTCATGTATGTTTGTTAAGTCCCCCGCGACACAGGATTTATTCCTAATGCGGGTGTTGTCTTTTACATAAAAAAAAAGAGGTAGTCAGCCTGTGGCGGCATTCTTTTGACGTTCCATCGGACATCGGTGAAATTCCACGTTGGACATCGGTGAAATTTATCAGGAAAGCGTCACACTATTTAGCGTACCGTCAAGAACCAGGACCAAAATGGAGTCTTGAGTCGTCAGCCCATTTCGTGCTGTGTTCCACAGTGGTCTGTTCTTGGATAACTCCTGTGGAACTGGCACTTCAAGAGCTTCTCCATCAAGCTGGGCGCAATCTGTTACGCTGATGATACATTACTAACAACCCGGGCAGAGAACTTTCCAGAGGTGCGCGTCTAGCCACCAGTCGAGTCACTTCGTTATATACTTGCTGATTGTGTAATGTTACTATTTACGGTGTTTGCTAATTATGGACCGGATAGTCCGAAGTGGCGACCTGCTAAACCTCTTTTCTCAGGAGAGGCCTATATTCAGCAGTGGACTGTTAAGGGCTGTTGATGATGATGATGATGAGTCCGAAGTGATACAGCGGCCTCACAGAAAACCGGTGTTAAGCAGTTCTTTAGTTGCTTTTCACCGAGTGAGTGAGGGTACCGGAGCCCAGATCTCTCTCTCTCTCTGGTCTAGGAGCGGAGCAGTCAAAGAACGGCTACGCATTAGTCTCTTGAGTTGCAGATGTCCATGGGTAGGGGCAGTTACCTACCATCAAGTGATCAGTCTGCTCCTTAGCCTGCCCCCCATTAAATTTCGGACATCCAACACACAACGCCATCTAGTTTCAAACTAAGCAGAGCTTGTATTATGAAAGCTGGACTGACTAATAGAATACTTATATACTTTTCTTATGTAAATACATACATATTATACATAGAAAACACCCGAACTCCGAAACAAACATTATGTCCGACCCGGGAATTGCACCCGAGACCATAGCACAGCAGTCGCATATTCTATCATTGCACCACCGAAGCAGTCGATTAAATGAAAAAACCTTTCATCTATTTCATTCTAACTAACTATTTTCATTGATGATAAATTGTTATCGTCTGCGGTATTCCGGACCAATACGACTTTCAAATCTTTAAGAAAAGAGCGTACTCCTTCCTAAAAAGCCGGCAATGCGTTTGTGACTCCTGAGTTGCAGGCGTTCATGGGCGGCGGTAGTCACTTTCTATCAGGTGACCCAACTGCTCGTCTGTCCCCTCTTACAAGAAAAAAATAATACTTCAAGGACTTCTTCTTATTAAATCGATGTCGAAACTGTAAGCGGTTTTGGCCCAGTGTTTGGCTACGCGATGGTTTAGGAGTAATAAAGTCAAAAGCGCAAAATGACAAATCTCCAATTGTCAAAAGAGCAGAATGTCAAAAACGCTTACAGTCAAAAGCGCACATTGTCAAGCGGACGTATTGCCACGATTCTGGTCTGCGGAGCATATGCCTGTGGAGACGCGGCGCGCTTGGGACTGTAGATATAGGTGGTAGTCAGTTTCTATTTGATACTTCCACCGTTTCCCCAAGTTGGCTTACCTTCCTGACTAAATGTATTCTTCAGTGCCAAAACGCGTTTTTCATCATAAACGTGGTCTAAAGCCGCCACCAGCTGATAATAAATCTTAGTGTTATTTTAGTAGTTAGGTGAATGCATATTGAACACCAATAATCACTAATCATGAGATTACTTCTTTATAGAAGAATACTCTCGGTATAGACGATAAGTAACTTATATTGGTTTGTTTTGCACCGATTTTGACACGATATACAACCGCTTCAAAGATGGTTTTAATACTCAATTCTTTATTGCTTCCATAATGTGAATACATAGGTGACAACAATTCAAGCGGCAACAATTATGGACCCTGTCGGGCGCAGCACAGTTTGTTTGGGAGAGAGGAAATAACACAACCACATATACAGTAGAATATTTTGTTTCTAATTAATATAGTAGGATAAAATCGTGGCAACTATACATGTGTGTATTATTATATTATTAATTATAATTAATATTGTTACTTCTATTTGTTCATAATTTTAAAACTGATTTAATAGTGTATAAAAGAACAAAATATTGTCCGTTATTTATTATTTTAATTATTTATTAGTTGTTATTTGTACAAATTTTAATACTTTACTCTCCATGTTACATTAATTTAACTTTAGATATAAGACACACAATGTATACAAACTGATTTCTTCTTTTTTATTATGTTTCTTGTACAATAAAGAGTTATCTATCTATCTATCTATCTATTTTTTTTATGTTAGAGGGGGCAGACGAGCCGACGGGTCACCTGATGGAAAGTGACTATCGCCGCCCATGAACGTCTGCAACTCAGGAGTCACAGACGCGTTGCCAGCCTTTTAGGAAGGAGTACGCTTAGTTGTTATTTAATTATTTTATTGATTAATTACAATTATTTTTCTAGTCAGTTTTGTTTCCCATTTCTCTCAGTGCAGCAATAATGTGCCGCAACGAAGCGTGGCGGGGTACAGCTAGTTATATTTATTTCTGGCCCTTTACACATTGGGGACAAAAACGTTTTACTTTCAAGTCGTCCTATCACGTTTTAAAAGTGCTCGAGTCACTACATACTCGAGCACTTTAATAATGTTAAAAAAAAAACCTTTTCTATCCAAATTGTGAATGCACGCACTATGAGATGCCATCCAATTTATTAGGGACTATTGGAGGAAGTGTGCTACTTTTTATGATGTAGGTGTCAAAAGAGCAGATATATTTGGTTACTTAATGGTAAGTAACTCTCGACTATGAACAGCTGCGACTCAGTAGTCACAAATTCGCTGCCAGCTTTTGAGTACCCGCTTTTCTTTAAAGTTTGAAGGAAGGTCGTTTCGGTTTGGAATACTGCAGGCTACAATTTATTCATTAGTCTGGTTGTGCGAAGTGAATATTACTTGAGAAATATACACTGATGGAATTGCAATTATGTAAGTTATGGGCATGCAAATTTTGTCATATTGAATGACAGTGCAAGTCTACGACCGGTATAAGTCCAAATAATTCCTCAGCACTTCGATAGCCCTTTGATAAGATAAGCCAGAGAAGCTTCATTTCTAGGTTACTCCAAGGGCTTAAGCCGATGTAAAATATCCTGACCATCGACGATTACGGTCCAAAGAGAGAAGCAAAAGTGGGGTACTCGTTTTTTTAAAGGAAAACAAAATGGCGGAGTTATAGCGTAAAATAGTAAATGGATTAACAAAAAAAAAACCAAACCTGTCGAGTAGGGTATCATAATAAACAAAAAATGGACTACAAGATATTTATTATTAGTGACAAATTTAAATTAAATAAGCAATGATAAATCGGTTTTAAAACGTTTTTGATAGCTCAATAGGCCAAGTTTGTGTCGCACCTCGCACTGTTTCGGCTTTTTTAGTGCATTACTTTGAAATTGCCTTTTTGCCGTCGGTTTTTTATTTCAAATTATTGTTACTACTTGTTCTGTAATTAGTTAATATCCTTATAAAAAGTAGAGAAAATAACACGACTGTACCTTCAGAAGACGTGGAGTCAAATACATCATGAACTCTCGTTGTGGTGTCTCGACCTGAATACGGTAGAAAAAAAGTTATTTTACGGATCACAAACGAGCAGATGGTTTACCTTGTAGTACCTAAGTTACTATCGCCGCAGATCTCACGCCTTAGATGGCAGGTGTAAAACTAAACTAAATAAGTAAAATTGTCTAGTCGTACAGTCTGATTAAAACCTCATTTTTGTTACATATATATATTGCATAGTTACCAGATGCGCTCCGCTTTGCTACACGCTGTATTTAAAATCCCACCATTACCACCAAACATGTTATATATAAAATTCTCGTGTCACAATGTTAGTTACCATACTCCTCCGAAACGGCTGTACCGATTTTTATGAAATTTTGTGTGCACATCGGGTAGGTCTGAGAATCGGCCAACATCTATTTTTCATACCCCTAAATGGTAAGAGTGACCCATCCCTAATTTTTTTTTGTTTTGCAAAACAACGTTTGCCGGGTCAGCTAGTTTTCATATGAAATTTTACCATATTGCTCACACTGAAAAAGTTATTAGATCTCACGAACTCTACACGCCTAAGGGGGTTAAAGTTCTAAATTATAGTTTTTTTTACTAAATTGGTGTTTTTTAGATATCAATAAAATATGAAGTATAAGAGTTATGCATTTAAACTTTTATGTGTTTAATAAGTATACTTGACACCAGATCAGAAAAAACAAAAAAAATGACAAAATAATTAGTGTGATTAAAAAAAAAATAGAAGACACTGGGCATTTTGGACGTATAGAATCTTTCGATTTCTTAAATAAATTAAAAACGACTTGTAATAAAAATGAGGTTTTTTTACCACAGTGTTGCCTAACTTAAAAAGCTGGCAACGTTGCATGATAGCGTTCGGCTCAACCGGAGTTATAGCCTCAAAAATACAGAATTTTAACAATTGTTTCGTTGAATTTCACCTATTAAGTAAAGTTACGAACGAACGTTACGAAACCAATAATTGTGGGCTTGTGACAACGTTCCTAAGTCTCTTGACTTTTAGAAGTCCATGAACGGTGGTAGTCACCACCAGCTCGTCTGCTCATTTATTCAAATATATGTATAATACCATTACAAATACTTACGGAAGATACTTCTTTTAACCCGACCACGACCTGTGAAATGCAGAAAACTAATTATATTCACTACCTGTTTCAGGTTTTTATCGATATAGAGTTCTTTCTATCAACCTAGAACCACGACAATTAGCGACAAGAAAGGTCTCTAGGATAGTGGTCCGGGAAACTTGGTAGAATAAGAAAGAAGACGGCGATTTAGATACGTCTCTGTGAAAGATTAAGATAAGTATTTTAAGTGTGGCAACATTGTTTGGAACTATCTAGATGGTTCTAGTCGGCCATGTTGTTCCTTCTCGTTTTGCGCTGTGTGCGGTGTGACGCTTTTCTATGTAACAATTATAATCATTCCAATATTCAATAAAACAGTTGTGCCCTGTGGCGTACGTATATTATTTCACAACTCATAATAGTCTCTCTCGCCTCTCTTCTCTGAATGTTGGCCCGAAGTGATCGCCGTCTTCTTTCTCTTTCTACCGATCCGACGTCGCTATTCCACTTACAGGCAATCGAATACCTTCTTCCCTTTATCTGTATTATCTCTATGAATATAATGCTCTGCTGCCTGTGACCAACTGGGTGGGTTGCTATTAAAGATAAAACAAAAATGAAACCAATTTTTTCTTAATTTAATACTTACGAGTAACTGTACTATTCTGTGTCTTCTTTATCTTCATGATATTTTCGTGTTCACATAGTTTCATTGCAACAATGTTCGCTTCGTAATCTGGAAAACAAACCAGCAAGTTATTCAGTAAACGGCGGAGCGGCTTCCATCCCTTCCAAGACTTATCTAGTAGGCGGTATATCATTTAGTTCTAACGTCAGGTCAGATCGGGGCTTCGATTTCTGCTGAGTATTTATTGTTACCAACTATATTCATCCCGTAGGTGTCGTAAGAGCCGACTAAGGGAGCTAACTACGCAGTACAACAGCACTGCAAAGAAAATTAAAACTTACCAAACTTACTTACAGAAACCCTTTTTTTTTTTTTTTTTTACGTGTGGAAATCCCCTCGGACCGTCACCCCACCGGGGTTTGCGGTGGGGTGGTGTGTCGGACTCGGACCGACTAAAACCACACTAGGAGGGATCCAGGAACAGCTGTTATTAAGACATCCGGACCCCTCCTAGCGCCTGCCCGCAACGGCGCGGGCACCACCTTCGGTAAACTCTCTATTTAGGCGACGTCCGGCACACGTGGACGCCGTCCTCCCGACCTGGAGGTCGTCCTCCCGGGCCTTCTCCGCCACCTCCTTCTGCGAGATTACTTCCTCGCAGAAGGTTGCGACCGCGGTAAAACAACTGTCGCTACCGGCCATGGAGCGTACTACGGCCGGTAGCGAGAGATCCACTCCGATGACTGCAGTGAGGGCCCGGCGCTGCGTCGCTCATGCGGGGCAGACCGCCAGCGTACTTACACAAACCCTATACCAACCCGTCTGGCCAGCATGGTATAGTAGGCCAAAACCTCCTATGAACTATTAAAGGGTGTTGATGACGTATTACGTAAATGAGATTAAAAAGTTAGTTACTATAGCTACTGGGCTATCGTTAAGCAGCGTCCACACTATGCCGGGCGAGGCCGAGCGGGCTGACCCGGGCGGCCTAAGCCGGGTTGGTGTGGACGCCCCGGGCGGCTTAAAAAGCCGGCCCGAGCCGAGCCGATCCCAACCCGCAGAAAGTAGGTACAGATCAAAGGATGCCGGCCCGAGCCGAACGAAAATATGTAGTGGGGACGTGCCGAGCGGCACCGGGCGGCTTTAGTTGTCCAGTCTTGGTGTCGAATTGAAACTAATAGGTAGATATAACCCGGGCGGCCTCGTTTTCGGTGTGGACGTCGTGCCGGCCCGAACGAACCCGCCCGGCTTAGGCCGCCCGGGTCAGCCCGCCCGGCCTCGCCCGGCATACTCCGGCATAGTGTGGACGCTGCTTTAAACGTACTTGTAAATGAATGAATACATAATATATATATATAATATGGTATGTATGTATGGTATTATATAGGGGTACAGGGTTACAGGGTTCAAGTCGACCTAAATACTTTAAGGGGTTGTAGTGGCCATAATTTCTGATAGATTTCACTATGAAATACCATATCCCAAAAGTAATAATTTAAGTGAATCCCAACAATAATAATTTAAACAATAATTCACCTTAATGTATTTAGGTTGACTTACCCAGTAACCCTGTATATATAACACAATTTACTTTGCCGGGTGAAAAATTAACCCATGGTATCTAACTAAGCAGTCAGGCTCACTACCCAATAGACAAAAATACCAGTAAATGACATTCTCGATTGAAAGAAAAGTTTTTCATCCACATACCTTTATGGCACTTCATGAACTGTAATTCGCATTTATTTAGAGCAATAACGTGAAACACTTTTTTGATATCCTTTAGATGTTTGACTTTAACACAAGTTGGATCTTCTTGAGCTGAACATTTAATATTTTTACATTTATCATCGATTGTTAGTACAATCGAGGTTCGTAACTCGGCTATTTGGTCGCATTTTGTTGCCTTATAAACTATAACAAAAATATATTATAAATTAATGTTTTGCAATCGAATAATCTTACTGTAGATTTATCAAGAGTGTCAGGTTTGCCACAGTAGAACATCTGCTTGAATTACTAATAAAACACCAACTAAACACCTCTAAACCTCAAAAAAAGGGCGTACTGCTGCTTTAAAGGCCGGCAACGCATGTACCTCCTGTGTCATAGCTGTTCTAGGGCGAAGGTCTCTTACCATCACATGATCCGTCTGCTATTGGTCCTCTATTTCATACAAAAGAAAATTTACACACTCTTACAAAAGAAACTTAAAGAATTTTTCAATTCGAACCAGTGGTTCCCGAGACTAGCTCGTTCAATCAAACAAACAAGCAAACTCTACGACTTTGGCTATAACATTAGTATAAATTTAGGTAAACACCTAAATTCTTACCTAACAGAAGAAACAGAATGAGGATGTTCATTATAAATTAAACATCTAAACTAAACTCTTAAATGTAACGTAACCTTGATTACATGACTTTTATGACTTTGCAAAGGCTGTCTTTATCTAGAAATAATTATTGAAATGAAATTGACTGTGTACAAATTTTATGGTTAGAATAAAGATAATATGCAACCCAGGTTAACAAAAGGGAAATTGCTTCGGCACATTAGAGTGGATCAGGGTGTATGAGGATCATCAGAGTTTCAAGTTGTTCGGGTTAACAATACACTGAAAACATTGCTAGTTGAGATTTTATTTTCCGCTTAGTTAACACTAAGGTACTATCCCCGAAGCGGCTTTGAGTTCAACATGTATTTTTTCATGCTTTAAAATAATTCAATTTTTAAAATAAAAGTATAATGTACTTTTATTTAAAAACTTCTTCTAACATCATTTATGTATATTTGAAAAGTCCGTAGAAATCGGTCCACCCATTCTGAAAGTTGCATTAACAAAAATTAATTCGCTTTTGTTTTAAACCTTTATTATGATACTTCTATTTTATTTATATGCATAAATTAGTCCTGTACACCTGCTACAATCGGGTATTTATAGAGTGGCTCATATTCCTCTTTTCTTTCTTACCTTAAAAATTAATCGATATTATTTAGTTTTTTAATGAAAAAACTAGCCACACTTCACCAACCCATGTTGCCCATACAAAAAAAGTCAAATTCAATTTGACATTTGTGAATTGTAACTTATCTATCATTTGAAAATAGAAAAACAAGACCCAGACAGAACACGGAAGAGCATTCCGAGAATAAGATGGGTTAAATTTACACATTATTCATTTAATCAAAACAGATCAGAAACAGAAAAATGGACGAGTACTTTATAACAGCTCTGACAAAATTGGTAATTTTTATAATATTACTGTTCGCTATTCTTCTGAGTTCTGGAAGTAGAGCGGGCCGACCATCTCGTACTGCGAGTATTACTCCTTGTGCGTCACGTGAAATACAACCAATTCGAAGTAGAAAAAGCTAATATACCTTAGGTATATAACAGATAATAATTATTTATTTAAATATATTTCTTAACAATCAACTTTATTTTAAAGTTGGACCAAATATTCAGGGCATTTTAAGGACAATGTAGAAATATTAAGTGATAGTGCAAAGACTATAATATAATGGCACACCTCACACAGTTATCTAATCTTAAATTAGGCACAGCCTTTGCTTTGGTACCAGGATTGCTCACAAACATGCTTATAAATCTAAAAACATATAGATAAATTACCTGTGTGGTGACGGATTAAGAGTACGAAGTGTCACCCCCCTATTAATCCCGTGGGTGTTGTAGGAGCTGACTAAGGGAGCAAACAGCAGGCCAACAGCACTGCAAAGAGAAGGAAAACTTGGAACTAACTTTATACCAACCCATCTGGCCACCATGGTATAGTAGGCCATACCCTTTGTAAGGAGAGGCCTATGTCTAGCAGGGGACGAGTAAAGTGTTAATGATGATGATGATTTACATAACTTTCTGCATGACGAAATTTTCATTCCCATCACTTGTATAATTGGCATTCCATCACTCTGTGCTTTCCAAGACACTTTGATATGTTGCATAACCAATCTGTGGAATAAGTTATCATCTGTGGTCATTCCGGACACATACAACCTTCAAGAAAAGTATTCCTTCTTAGTATTCTAAAAGTATTCTTCCTTAGTTGTATTCCTTCTTAGTATTCTAAAAGTATTCTTCCTTAGTTGTATTCCTTCTTCAAAGGCTGCCCCCTACTCCTTAATACATTTAAATGTACATCCTTGGGACAATTCTTTCAACTCCTTATGAAGATTATTAATTCTTTTGCAAATCCTGATATCAAAAGTTCCATAGGAAAAATGATTGTACACACATTCCTTTTATTCCAAACTTGTGGGTATATTTTATTAATTTCTGGGCCTTGTAGTATGACCCTTGATTGGAGCACAAGTGGACAGGCCTTCTCCAACATTTGCCATTGCTCTGTCTGCGTCAACATTTGACCATTACTGATGTAAAATGACATCTTATAATTGCATCATATTAGAACATTCAGAACATTGTTTAAATCGTTGATGGGCCTGTTGGTTTAGTGGTTAGTGACCTTGACTGTTTAGCCGGAGGTTGTGGGTTTAATTCCCACCCAGGACAAATATTTGTGTGATGAGCACAATAGTTTGTTCTGTCTGGTTGTAATTTAACTACAATATGTATGTATTTAGAAATACATATATAAGTATGTTTATCGGCAGTGGTCACTATAGTACAGGCTCTGTGTAGTTTTTTGATCAGATGGCCATGAGTGAGATGTCGGAAGTTAATATTCTTATTGTTATTAATGTATCTGCTTAATACCATAACTGTTGATGTTATTACACGTTATTGGTCTTCTTCTTTAAAGAAATTAGGTAAACTAAATGTTTAGTTGTTGTTGTTGTTGTCGGTGTGGTGACGGATTAAGAATACGTAGTGTTACCACCCCTATTCATCCCGTGGGTGTCGTAAGACCCAACTAAGGGAGCGAACTACGCAGGACAACAGCACTGCAAAGAGAAGGAATACTTGAAACAAACCCTATACCAACCCGTCTGGCCAGCGTGGTATAGTCGGCCAAAACCTCCTTTCTAAGGAGAGGCCTATGTCCAGCAGTGGACTATTACAGGCTGTTGATGATGATGATGAAATGTCTAGGTGTAATTTATCTCTAAATTCAATCTATATCTATAAAAGAAGAAATTGACAGACTGATTCAAGGACTGATGGATCAATGCATAGCTGAAACTGCTGGGTTTAGAAGCAACTACAGCTCTTTTCTACAACAATTTTTTATTTTCAGAACACCCATGAATATAATGAATTAACAATTGTTCTTGGCAATGAGAGTTGTGATCTTGATTCCTCCGTAAGCTCAATTGTCTATGCTATATTTTTAAATTGGCAATACAATCAGATTAAATGTAAAGTGTGCACACGGGAACACAGGCCTGGGTCTGTGAAAGATGATATTTTTGTACCAATTTTGAACGTTGATAGATCCGATTATGAACTGAAAACGGAAGTTGCCTACCTTCTAAGAAAGTATGGTATTTATGAAAGTAATTTGATTTTTAGGTAAGTATTTTATTTTTTTATTAGCACAATTTAAGGTAATACTTTAATAACTATCTGATACCAATGACTTCAATCGCGTGGATTTGAGAAGCGCTGCCTTAGTGGTATGGTATGCGACTGCAGTTCATGAGGCCGCGGGCTCGATTCCTGGATCGGGTACAATTTTATAGGGTTTTTTTTATTAACCGCAGAACCGACAACCGTTGGGGAAAATGAGTTCTTAGAGTGGAGAACGCGTCTCGGCAAACGTAGTGTAGAACGCCCACAGGCCAGGTGGAGTGACGATTTGCGCAAGATGGCTGGCAGGAGCTGGGCGCGAGAAGCCCAAAATCGATCTAAGTGGCGTGCAATGGAAGAAGCCTATGCCCAGCAGTGGACTGCGATAGGCTGATGATGATGATGATTATTGTTAACATCATTCTACAGATTACTGCAACAATTTGCTACATTAGTGATTTTTTCTGAAAAAAAGGCAGTTATTCATTAGGCGTTATTATCACAAAGGGTCAGGTCTAATTTTAGGCCAGGCAGTGATGATACCTGAGGCAATTGTATATGATATCATTGCGTCTGCAATCTGTCATTGCGCGGTACAGGATTAATATTTACATTGTGGTTCGTCTTATGAACGGTAGATGGCGTTGTTATATGTTTTGTTGTTGTCAGATTTCCAACCTAAATGTTTTATTACAGGGATGATCATGACATGCAAATCTTGATAAGCAGAACGAAAACCAAAGTTGTGTTAGTTGATCACCATGTGATGGCAAACAGAGATCAGTTCTTAATACCGCTTGTCACCGAAATCATTGATCACAGGTAAGATTATGATTGATTTTGTAATTTGACCGAATATCTATGATCACCTTAGAAAGGAGGTTTGGTCTACTTTTCCCACGCTGGCCAGATGGATTAGTATAGGGCTTGCTTCAAGTTTATTTCTCTTTGGAGTGCTGTTGTCCTGCATAGTTTGCTCCCTTAATCGAATCTTACGACACCCACGGGATAAACAGGGGTGGTGACACTCCGTGTTTTAGATCCATGTGGTGGCGGATTATCTACAACGGAGTATCTATACAAATATTATAAAGATGAAGACTTTGCTTGGATGAACGCGCTAATGTCAGGCACTGGGGCAAATAGAAAAAATCTTTTAATATGGGAAACCCCATTCACCGGCAGAAGAAACGGCCGCCCACGTAATCCTGGAATGGCAGTGGCCACCCAACAGGCAAGCATCATACCTGATAGAAAATCGCTCCTAGAAGCCTATGAAGGCTTCTGATCTTCTGGAAGGAGCTTGGTTGGCTCTCCTAGTCAACTTTTCCTGACGCATAAAGGACTATTCTTGAGTCTAAATGCAGAAACCGAAGTCAGTGATTATATCATGACTGATTTTGTAAAAAGGGACGGCAATGTGTAACAGAAGGATGAGTAATTGCGCGCTTTTTGATTTGACCAATGAGCGCGCGGTGCTAGATCTAGAGCGGCGGCTATCGATGGTGCGTGAGGTGACAGATATTACACGTCATACGTGACAATTATTGTCAAGCTGTACATGTAAATTATTGGTACTTTTAAATCATCTTCATCTGAAGAAATGATTGGTTTTTGTCACTGCGATAGCCCTTGTGATTTGGTCATAGACAAAGATAAATGACGTAAAAATCAATCAAAAATCTTTTCAAAGACTACCCTTTTTTTTACATTTAAATTTTTCGCATGTCTAGCGCTTGCGAAATATTAATGACTAGCTGACCCGCGCAACTTCGTCTGCGTCTCTCAATAGTAATAAATTTTCTCCGTTTTTGAAACATTCTTCATTGGTGCTCCGCTCCTATTGCTCTTAGCGTGATGATATATAGCCTATAGCCTTCCTCGATAAATGGGCTATCTAACACTGAAAGAATTTTTCAAATCGGACCAGTAGTTCCTGAGGTTAGCGCGTTCAAACAAACAAACAAACAAACTCTTCAGCTTTATAATATTAGTATAGATAAGTCGCATTGGTCTTGTAATTAGTCACAGTTGTGATGATTTATAAATCACAGGTGATTGTGATTTTATTCCATCTCTATTTCAGACCATTAGACAAATCAAAATGGCCGTACAAAGCAGACACCCGCTCCACTATACAGACGGTGGGATCATGCGCGACTCTAGTTGCGCAAAGAATTAAAACTTTAGGCGCACTCGTGGCAAAGGATGTTGATTTTTTCAACGCCTATCCGGTCTGCAGCAAGCTATTGTATGGTTAGTTGTCTTAACTTTTTTTTAACCGACTTCAAAAAGGAGGAGGTTGTCAATTCGTATGTTTATATATATTTTTTTATGTATGTTCGAAAAACGTGAAAAAGATGTTTATCCCGAAATGGTCACATTTAAATTTCATACAGATCTGATGATGAGTTTCGGAGACAGACAACGGAACTTTTTAAAAAATGTTTTTTGAAGAGTTGTTTTTAGTGCTCTTTGTTAATATTGTTCGAAGTCGGTTCAATTATTTTTTTAAAGGAGTTTACTTGTTTAGAACGAAGTTCCTTATCTCGCGTTAGCGTCTCTGAGCGGATGAGCGAGCGAGACCGAAAAATGTGGTACAAGACTTTTTGCCGACACTCCTTGCTATAGTTACAGCCGTGTGTGAACTGTATACATCGCCGCACACAGCTTTCCCACACGCCGAAATAAGTTAAGCAATCATAGTCAGGTCAGTCTACGGATGGGTGACCATTTTTAACACATTGAGACCCCTCCGTGCCTCAGAGTGCACGTTAAGCCGTCGGTCCTGGTTGCTATAAGAACATCTGCGGCAATCGTTACGGGTAGTTGGGAGTTCGCAACAGTATTTTTACAGAACTTCGATATCGCCCAGTGCTTGGGTTGTGGAGGTCTGATGGCTCGCTCCACGTGAAACATCGAAGTTGAGCCGTGTCGGAGTAGACTTAAAAAAGCCCACCCCAACCTAGTTTCGGAAAAGGTTGACAAAGAAGTGTGTTGCCACCCTGCCCCCCTCCAGAAATCAGAGGGGGGGCTTGAGAGGCTTGAGATCTGGTTACTTCATTCAAAAACAACAAAATAACTGCTCAACACTGTTGTTCTGATAATTTGAATAATTCTTTTCAAATTCAAATTATATATTTGCTATAAATGGGGTGGTACATGTTGTGGTATTAAAGGTTCAATATAGTGCGAACAGGCCCATTTAGCCATGAAGATAGCATGCAAATTTAACATTATTATTATTAATTTAACATTATTATATATTATATATTATTATTATCATCATTATTCATCAGTGTTTGTGTATTGATTATAATTTCACTTTTATTAATTATACCTACTACTCTCCACCATTCAAAAAGTCTGTGACCGAATAAAATGTATTTGTAATTGTAAAAACCGAATAAAATGTATTTGTAATGTATTTGTAAATGTATTTGATTAAATACTGATTTCTGCGAACCCCTTTCTATGTTTCAGCTACAATCATCTTGGATACTGTGAATTTCTCAAAGGAAGTGAACAAAGCAAGAGTTCTTGATGAAGAAATTATACTCTTTTTAGAAAGCTTGATTAAACCTGATGACTACACTGCAGAACGGTAAGGACACACACACACTGGCGCTCCTATCACACATGTATTTGGGCCAGATCTATTACTGTCACCTGGAATGTGGGAATTGACGTAGGAAAATAATGAGCACCTCTTCACTCGCCCAAACCCCCCATTCCCGTGCTTGTCCTCCCCCCCGTGACATCACATATTTTGCAATTTTACTTTTAGAAATTTTTGAAATTAACTTTGGAACTGCTATTTTATAGCAGTATTACATATAAAATCAATATCAAATGAAGTATTTGGCAAATATAAAAAGTTAAAAACGCCTGTAAGGCCGATAGGTTCCATAGGCGCCGAAGAATGCTTAACGTGAGCTTGACGGCAATGGAAGGAAATGTTCAACTGTTAAGCGTTTTTTTTATTTAGTAGTTTTTCACGAGCTGTTGGTGTGACCAATAAAAGAATTTGGTACTTTTTTTCTTCAAAACGTTGTTGCTATCAATAATTTTATAAATTAAGGTCGAATTTCGTCCACTAGTAATATAAATAGGGTGGTTGTATATATAATTATGAAATTAATGTACATTTCTTCAAGTGAACGCACACTGGATAGCTTGGTGAGGGCCAGAAGCGATGTCTCCAAGCTGACAGCCGACCAACTCCTTAAGAAAGACGTGAAGGTGGTTAGCCACGTATTTGTTCCGTGTTTTCCTTTCCTCGTCAAGGTAAATATGTTTTCAAAATAAAATTACTTAAGCCGACTTCGAAATAAGAGCGGTTAATGTATTCGAGGTGTTTCGTTTTAATTAGTAAAGTTTCTTAATTTGTTACGCTTTCTATATCGAAACATTGTTTGATTTTTTTTATTGTGGTCCAGTGGTGGGTGATCTTGATTACTAAGAAAGAGGTAACGTGTTCGATTCTCACAAGGTTAAAATAATTATTTGCAATTAAACATTTGTTCTGTGTCTGTTGTAATTTATCTGTAATATGTATGTATTTTGAAACTGATAGTAATCAAAGAATATGTAATGATGAATGTTAATTTGCGATAGAATTCTGATATATATATTAATTGCTTGAATAATGAATGATCCCTTTTTTCTCATTTTTAATGAATTAATGTAATGGGGAAATTGATTTATTTATATTTTTTGACATAGTTGCGGTTGACAATAACTTGAAAATGTTTATTGCCACTATGATTATAATCAAACTCATATACTTTCACAAGATTCCTTACACCATAACTAAAAAGACATGTAGAACATATCACCCATAAAACCATCTTCATGCAATGTAAAACTTGTACTACATTCAGTGGCGGATTAGCCACGTAGCAAGAGTAGCAAATGCTACGGGCCCCGCGCATTTGGGGGCCCCCGCTCTTTCTGACCGTAAAAAAGTATCTACTTACTCGTATTTCGATCGGAGTGTAATAATATTTTTTCAAACCAATAAAGCCAAAATTCTTATCACGAAAGAGTTGCATCTAAATGTCAAACTATAATTTGACGGGCCTGTTGGTTTAGTGGTTAGTGAGCCTGCTAAGCTAGAGGTCGTGGGTTTGATTCCCACCCAGGACAAGTAATTGTGTGATAAGCACGATGATTTGTTCTGTGTCTGGGTGTAATTTATCTATAATATGTATATATTGAGAAATATATAAGTATGTTTATCAGCAATCTGGTTAGAATAGTACAGGCTCTGCCTAGTTAGGTAAACATACAGCCGTGTGTGTGATGTGTTAAGTAAAAAATTTAAACTTTTAGTACATTTCTAAAACTATGTTTTGCACTGCGACCCAACGCTGCGTGTGACACCCAAGCCAAGCAAATTGCCTGCGTGTGCTGGGCCGCGTCCTCACTGCAATCGGAGTGATGACAGGCGGGATTCAATTCCCTCCTATCGAACGATTGCAGAATTAGCCGTACCCAGAAAGAACCTGCTCTGCTCTGGACGCTCTGCCCACTCAATGATTGGCCTCAACTCAACGACCGGTTGGAGTGCCTCTACGGCATCGAGCCATCGTGGCTCGGCGAGAGGCGTTACGCCCCTCGCGCTCCTCTTCGGGTGGGGGCCGAGCACTTCCTTCCCAAATCCCACGAGAGTGTTCCGGCCAGGCGTCGACACGGTGCTATAACCATGGTTCTAACTGCCAATGCCCTCTAAGGGCGCCAGAATAAAATATGTTTTATAAGCTCAGACTTATTTTAACAGTGGCGTGCAATCATTTTTTGTATTAGGCTGAGTAAACATGCTTTTTATATTCAAACCCAGAATAATATTAATATTAAATCTTAACATTTGGTAATAAAAATCAATAATGACACAATAGTAAACATACAACACAAACTGCACAATAGACATTGAAATAATATGTCCATAATCCATAGCACTTACATAATTTTGGTGAATGCGCGCCCTATGCCGGGCGGTCAGAACTGCCGTCCACACTGGGGCACCGTACAGTGCCATTGACTGGACAGCCCCGTGTACAGCTGTCTTGAAACGATGCTGGGTGGGCAAAAGTCACTTCAGAGCAGACGCAGTGCCGACCAGTTTAAGGGTAAGCTCATCGAAGAGCCATCTCCCGTCAGATATCAGGCCCATATCCTTCATCTGGGCCTGAACCGGTACGTTGACCAAGATGACCACGATTGAGGCGCCAGGGGGTGGACTACAACTAGGCCCAAGAAATAAGAGGCCTCCGTCTTATCCAGGACCACCTTTAAGCCAACCACCAGAGACACCCCAGGTCCCCCTCCTACCCACAGACAACCAAAGTGTCGTTGGCGTAACAGATTACGCCCAGCCCGGGGGAAGTCTCCTCGAGGGGCCTAGTCGTACCCTATGTTCCACAGGAGGGCCCAAGACCAGAGCCCTGTTCAACACCACATGACATGGGCCAACGTCTCCAAATTAAAAAAAAACTATAGGGCTTGTTTCTTGAAACTTAAAACAAGCCCGAGTAGGGTTTGTTTCAAATTTGAGACTGGTATAACCAACCCGTCTGGCCAGCGTAGCATAGCAAACAAAACTCTCCTTTCTAAGGAGAAGCCCATATCCAGCAATAGACTGTTGAGGATGATGATAAATTCCATAAACTAGATAACCTAAAACAACCCAAGGGGCCCTTGGTAGAATTTGCTACAGGCCCCGCGCTGTCTTAATCCGGCACTGACTACATTCATGTTTAGACGAGATAAATTTAAAAGTAAATATACAGGGTTACTGGTGTGGTCGACCTATATACTTTAAGGAATTGTAGTTGCCATCATTTCTCATAGATTTCTCTAAGAAATACCATATCCCAAACCTAACCATTTTCAAGATATTGGACTTTTAAGATTTTCTATAAAAATTGCCGAAATTTTGCATAATACAATTTTTTACAATTTATATCCTTTTTTTTTACTATTTTTGTATAGTTGATACATTGTTTTATACTTTCCATTACCAAAATTGTAGTTAACTTAACAAACTGGGCCGAAGTCGGTGGTTTATTATAAACCACCGACTTCGGCAACCGACACCGCACCGTAAAAACAAATAACACGTACCTTTTATTATCCTTGACGAATATTTAAAAAAAAACTATGATAGTAAGTTGCAGATTTGTTTAAAAACATGTACATATTGTCGGCTATCAAATGAGGTATAATAGTCTAGGATAGTATCACAATTCATAGAAAAAACTTAGATGAAAGGCCGGAAGTATTGAGAATTAGCATACAACCCAGTAGTAATTAGTTGAAAACTTGGCTTGTATTTTTGGACTCTTTTGTTTTCTGTTCTTGACTAACTATTCCTAACTGTACTTTGTACTGTTATTTATGCTTCTGATACTGTTGGTCATGATGAATATCTTGAAAATTAATCTGTTAGTAGTTAGTAGGAGTTAGTTAGTTAGTAGTTAGTAGTAAAATTTATCGGTTAGGTTTGAGATATGGTATTTCTTAGTGAAATCTATCAGAAATGATATCAACTACAACCCCCTAAAGTATCTAGGTCGATTTAACCAGTAACCGTGTATGTACATAAACCCTTTTAAATATGACATGTCAAGTCAATCAACTTCTAATTTAATTTTTGCAGGAATTCCTCAAAAAGCCAAAAGCCCTATCGGCTGTAAACGAAGCTTTAGCACGCGAAAAATGTTCCGTAGCCCTACTCCTGGGCATGGATCTAACAGAGGGTGTCCAGCGGGATGCTGCAGTTTACTATCCACACAAAAGCCAGGACACAGCAACAGAAGTAAGTTGGTAGGAGGTATCGAGTAGAGGGGGCTTCTGATAGAAAGTAGACCGCCGCCCATTAGGAGGCTGGGCTCCAGTAAACTCACTCAGTCGTTAAAAACCAACAAAAGAATCTTTAACATCGGTTTTCCGTGAGGACATGGTATTTCCCCTCTAGCCAGCCAGCCAGCTCATTCGTGACGTATGGCTCTTCAATTTTTTCTGGACAAAAGGTCCTTTTTTGTGTTCCTGATACTTGTATGCAGTTACACGATGATCAGTTGAGCAGTTAAAGCGTAACACGCATACATTTGCATTAATAATATCAGGATATTTATCAGGTCTGGATAAAGGTTCTGCATCCCACAATTATCAACAATAAAGTATCAATCATAATCAAACTTGTAGAATGCATATTGTATTTGTAAATATATATTTTTTCTAATTACTCAAGTGTTGTTCGTATTGTTACAGATATGCAAACATCTTCAGGAATGGACGCGGCCATCTCTAGGTTTGTCGGCCGAGTCGTTGGCCGACGTATCCAACGTAAACTACTTTTGGCAACTTAACTTGTCTGCATCACGTAAGCAATATATTGCGGCATTAAACGCTTATTTGCAAAAATAATAAATATATTTTGTTCATCTTTTGTTTTATTTCACTTTTATTTTATTTAGATCAATAAGAAAAATGAATCAACAGACGGTCTTAACGGATACAGATTTTAAAAACATGATGTTGTGTTATGGGTTTGAGATTAAAGTTGTACACATATAATATCCTGTGGGTGAACATAAATCTACGTTACCAACCCCTCTAGGTGCTTGTAGTTCCATACCTACAGCACTGTTTAGAACGTTGGGGGCCTAGGCCTAAATTTTGTTCAGGCTAGCCTGAACAAAATTTTCAAGTACTACAAGAAATAAAAAAAATATATTTTTTTATTAAAATTTTATGGGATAAGATATTCCCAGAGAATATGACTTGCGAAGTAGTACAAGTGACAGCACAGTGAAAATACTAATGGTAGAATTCTTACACTTGGTCACACTTAATTTCGTCAACGTCAAAACAACAGAGTACAGTAATATTATGTCAAAACTAAAGTCAAATAAGTCGGCAATTGCGTATTTTACCGAGTTTTCCTCTAAACTTTAAAAAATATTTAACTTACATACGACGCTAAATTACAAAAAATATTAAAGTGTATTATTTAGCAATATATGAAATGGCATAACCTTGAAACAGTGCATTGACTAGACACAAAATAAAAAAATACGTTATATTTGTTTTGTTGTTATAAGATAAACTCGATTAAAATATGGAAAAATTAATTATGTGTAGAATTTGTTTAGCAACAGATCTACGTATGGAGTCTATAGTGAATACTCACCTACAAGATATGTATGAGAAACTGACTTTGAAACAAGTAAGAATTATTTAGTTAGAAATTCACCTTAAACGAAAAAAAAATGCTAGTTTTACAGTGAATAAAATTTTATATATTACAATATGGTCAATAAAGAGATGATTGTTTAATTTAAATTTATTTAATCCAGCAGATATTATTATTATACTAATAACGACAGTATCGACAGATAATTCGTTTATTCTAGTTATAACAGTAATGTCGGCAATTTAGTAATGGCAATTTATATGATATCAATATAATAACGAATTAATTACCAATCAACCGGCAACTATCAGGAATAATTATGTATAACATTATATAAATATTATATTATGTATAAATTAATTAAAACTCTGTGTAAATTTGCTCTGTCTCATGCCTGTGCCTGTACTATTTTTTTTTTGTAAAGTTTACATTTTAGTAACTAAATCGAATATTACAAATATTAATTCATACTTATTTGTTAATGTTTTTTGTCTTTGTCCCTGTTAAGTTTCCATACCATATTCCAGGTATCATCAGGCTTTATTTTTTTATCAAAGTTAAATAAAATTATCAGGCGACCTATCAGCTGGGTTCCCCCCTATTCCATATCATCTGCATTTTTTTTTCTTAATTACAGTTTGAAACAAAGGATAGCAAACCGACTCTAGCATGTTACTTGTGCTGTGCAAGACTCCAGAACTGCTACCAGTTAAGCATGAACTGCCTCCAGAGTGAAGAGCTTCTTACACAAATGCTGAGCGGCAAAATGGTTTGTAGTATCTTATATGTATATATATACACATACATCACTCATCATTCATCATCATTCCTAGAGATTCTAAGGTTCTCGGGATTAGTGATCCTGATTGCAAAGTCCAGGACAAATTCTGTGATGAGAGTGAGCATTTTGTTCATGTCTGTGTGTAATTTATCAATAATATGTATGTATTTAGAAATATATAAGTATGTTTTTCAGCAGTCTGGTTACCATAGTACAGGCTCTGCCTAGTTTGGGTTAAAACGACACCCCATAGACCATAACTAATTCCACTTACATACAAGGGCAAGCCTATTTCTGTAGACTGGGCATACACATATTTCTAAATAGACTTACTACTTATCTAAATTACCTATCTATACAAATAAATAAAATTGAAGTCTCTATTGGTAATGTTAGAACAATTTTTTTTTTTTTCTCTGTTTGGTATAATTACAGCTAGCATTTTAAAAACATAAGATACAATACATGAACGTCTGATGACCTTTTACAAATATCTGCGATTAGAAATACACACGTAACATTAAATTGGAAGTCAGTAAAGAAACAAAGCCAGCACCCATAGTCGAATCAAAAAATTTCTTAGCTAAAATGGTTTTAAATTTAGAAACACTGGTACCATACAGATCTATTTCATATTGAGATGAAATTTAATCAAATTGTCTACTCTCACGTATTAAAAAGTAATTTTGTCTTTTTCTTTTTTTTTCTTTTGTTTAAAAAAAAACGCCTGCATTAGGAATATATCTTGCGTCGTGGGGGACTTTACAAACATACATGAAACGGACACAAAGAACACCCAGTCTCACAACAACAACTGTACCGATTTTAATAATATTTTACTACCAGGTAGCTGTCTATATAAGAGTAACTTATGCTATTTTTCCTCTCAGAAAAACCATAATCATTTTGGCCCTGTTCGGAAATCGAACTCGAGTGCAGTCACGTACCGTACTACACCACAAAGCAGCACGCGAACGAAGTCGCGGGTACCAGCTAGTATGTATATAAAAATGATATGTTGGTTTGTGTACTTTTTAAAAACTCAAAACAAATACACAAACACGATATACAAACCATTTTAAGGATTAATTAAATCTATTTTTGTGTCAATGTTGTTGATTATTTTATCATCAATGCAATTTTAATGTGTCACAGCAAACCGTAGCAGGGTACGGCTACTATATTTCTAAATACATAGAAAAGTAACACAGAACAAATGATCATGTACACCACACATATTGGAACGAAGCTCCTTACCGCGCGATACACGCTCTGAGCAGATGGGAGCGAGACCGAAAAATGTGTAACAAGACTATTTTCCGACACTTCTTGTCGCAAATCATTCAGTGTTTAATTTATCATTATTTATAAATTTAACTCAATATTTTATAAAATAAATTATAATGAATGATAAACGTCCACCATAAAGCGAAAGGAACTTCAAACCCCTCACTCCATTTTTTGTCCTAGATGAGAATCGAACCCACACCCTCTTGCTTAGCAGCCAGGATTGCTAACAACTAGCAAACTGGACCATGATTTTTGTATTTTAAATGTATACTTGTTTCTGACAGTTGCATCCCTCGAATCTTAAAGAGGTGACCCCCAGTATGAAGCTAGGAACAACTCCAGTTATAGTGGAGACCTTCGAAGATCTTCTCTATGATGTTGATGGGCAGGTCAAAGTGGACTCCACTCAATCATCAGGCGTAGAAACGGAAGTAAAGATGGTTGTGAATGAAGGTTATAATTCCTTAATGTTTATTAAATTTATACCTATATTATAAATTTAAAAGTCAGTTTGTTTGTTAGTGTTTCACTCCTAAACCACTAAACCGATTTTAAAAATTCTTTCACCAATGAAAAGTTACATAATCAGCGAGTAACATAAGCGGGCAATATACATATAAATAACATTTTTGGAGTGAAAACTTTAGGCACGTTGGGAATTTTTGAACAACAAACAAAAGAATGTATTTTTTGAGATGAGAAAAAACCATTAAACTTGCAACACTGTTACCGTTACCGACACCTCTGTATATAAGTATCTACATATATTGGCCCCGTTTACACGAGAGTTGAGTTTGGGTTGAAATACATTGATAATATAACTATATATAATATAAACACATATTCTGTATATTCGTACAACATAGATATATATTCACGACGGAACTTTTCGAATCGAAAAAAAAACAAAATTTTTTCCTGTTATAATTAAAAAAAAAACAAGTTTTCACTTCTGTCGGCACTCCCGGAGTGCCATTTTTTATTTTTTAAATACATTTATGACATACAATAAATGCAGAATACAAATAGGTATTCTGCATTTATTTAATTCTTAAATTCTATTATTAATTTGTTTTTCGACTGCCTCTGTGATGCACTGGTAGGGTATGCGACTGTTGTGCTGAGGTTTCGGGTTCGATTCCCGGGTCGGACTAAATGTTTTTATGATAAGCAAATATTTTTTTCGGAGTTTGGGTGTTTTCTATGTATAATATGTATGTATTTATAAAAAAGTAAATAAGTATTCCATCAGTTAATCTAGCTTTCATAGTCCAAGTTCTTCATAGTTTGAAACTAGATGGCGTTGTGTTAGATATATGTAAATATTATTATTATATGGACCACGCTTCGGTGCGTTGTTATCCTTGTCCCTTGTCTCCACACCCTCAGCATTAGGGTGAGGGGTTTAGACTAGACATGGGACAAACTCACAGTGAACTGTGATATATCATTCTATTTTTGCGTACGAAGAGTTAGGGTTGCTTGGTAGGCAGGTTAAATGCTATTTAAAACTCTCTCAAATACTCAATAACAATGTATATTTTAGAGAAAAAATATCAAAACACTTTTTAGTTAATCAAAATCTTAAAAAATTAAAAATTTCATGAAATGGGTACCAGGGTACCCCGGGTGCCAAACGACGTTAGTAAGTTTGGGTATGAACACAAGGGTTAACAGTAACATCGTCTGAAAAAAGCTTATTGACAACAACCCTAACCTACGTACGAAATAATCGAACGATAAATCGCCGTTCATTCACAGTTCACTGTGACTCACCGAACGAACGAAGTGAAGACCAACGAAAGTTTTCTATGAGGCTATCATTCCGGTCGAGCTTGTCCATATTTACCGAGGAAGAGGAAGAACGGGTGTCAAGTTCCGTTACTCCGTACACATGTGTAGTTACTCCGTAGTTCGGTGTTTTTTCGATAGATGGCGCTGTAGTATGTTTCTTTGTTTCACCGTATGTGGAAGTCACCACAATATCTTTTTAGAACATTAATAAAATTATTATATTTACAGTTGTAGAAGATAGCATACCAGCAGGGTGTATCAAAGAAGAGCCTGGGACAGATGCCAGCTTCCAAGATGAAGACATCGAAGACGAGATACCTCTGGACATTGTCAAACACGAGTTTGGATTACCAAGTAAGTCTGGATAACTTTTTATGTTACAAAGTCCTCAAATCCCGTGGCTTCTTCTAATAATAATATAAACTTGAAACATCTAACATACGACCGTCTGATCCCAAACTAGGCAGAACCTGTACTATGGTAACCAGACTGCTGATAAACATCCAATCTTCTAATATATTAAAATCTCGTGTCGAAGTAATCCGACACGACTTGACCGATTTTTATGTCTTTTTTAACCCCCGTCGCAAAAGCGACGGTGTGTTATAAGTTTGACGTGTCTGTGTGTGTGTGTATGTCTGTCTCTTTCATAGTCGGGAGTATTCTTAGCTATGTTTGATGAAAATCGGTCCAATATGGCGCCGCCACAAAATGAAAGAGCTCGTAGTTAGTTAAGTTAGTTTAGAGCTAGTAGAATAATATACACTATGACAAATTTTAAATCCGAGACGTGTCGGGGTTTTTTTATTTATTTTTTTGGAAATACAAAAGGGTATGTCTGAGAATAGTTGGTAAGCCATTGTCATACCCATAGGTGGTATGGGTGACCTTCCCTAGAATTTTATTTTTATTGTAAACTAGCTGACCCGCGCAACTTCGTCTGCGTCTCTCAATAGTAATAAATTTTCTCCGTTTTTGAAACATTCTTCATTGGTGCTCCGCTCTTATTGGTCTTAGCATGATGATATATAGCCTATAGTCTTCCTCGATAAATGGGCTATGTAACACTGAAAGAATTTTTCAAATCGGACCAGTAGTTCCTGAGATTAGCGCGTTCAAACAAACAAACAAACAAACTCTTCAGCTTTATAATATTAGTATAGATGATTAGGCCGTCAACAGCCACAGCGCACAGCTACAGCCATACTTGTAATAAGTTAGTAGTTTTTATTTAACTATCAAAATATTGACTAGAAATAATTTATAAAGCAAAAAAACGTGGACTCCGATAACTACACTCACTCTGTGAAAATCAATCAATGAATTTCTCTTTTTCTCCTTTTAAAAATACAACTCCCGCATTAAGAATTATATCCTGTTTTGCGGGGGACTTTACAAACATACATGAAACGTACACAAAGAACACCCAGACTCAGAACAACAATTTGTGGATCACACAAAGTGTCGTTCCATGTGTGAATCGAACCCACAACACTCGCGTAGTAGTGAGCAGCGTGGCGACCGCTTAAACCACTACGCCATCCGTCAGTTTACATGAATGAGGGTTTTCTGAAATGTTCCACATGAGATGGCAGCACTGTAGCATCAGGTCCAACCACCTGTCAAAACACATACACGATTTGTATTTTTCGATCATTTTTTTGGTTTATTCATTCTTAAAAACGTTACAAAAGGAATATTGTTTTCTAAAATGCCACAGTGTTGTGCAGTGCCTCTGTGTGCAAATAAAACTTTTGCGTCTCTCTTTTTGAGCTCAATCTTCAGTTCGGCAACCTTTCTCTGGCCGTAATCTATAATAAACTCAATAACACTTCCAAATTCATAGAATTTCACTAAAAAATTATACGTTCGGTAAGAATCTGTGCTATCTGACAGCTGTTTGGACCTGACGCATACGAAGCGCCGTCTGGTGGCAGAAAAAGTATCGAAAACCCTCATTGTTATCATATCGCAACTGTCTTCTTATCAATAATGCCATACAGATATTACAAATGTGAAAGTGTTAGTTTGTTTATTACGCTTTCACGCCTAAACCACTAAACCGATTTTAAAAATTCTTTCAACAATGCAAAGCTACATTATCAGAAAGTAACCGACGTACACTCGGGCGGGCAAAACCTAGTAACAAATAAACATTTTTTTTTTGTGAAATTCCTTCTTTTTTGAAGTCGATTAAAATGTTGAACACAATGTTGTATGAAACCGCAGAACTTGTTGCACATTATGAAATATATTGCCTCGGTGGTGCACTGGTTTGGGTTCAATTCCCGAGTCAGACCAAATATGCTCTGCAAATATTTGTTTCGGAGTTTGGGTGTTTTCTACGTATGTATTTACAAAAAAAGTACATAAGAAATCTATCAGTCAATCTAGCTTACATAGTACAAGCTTTGCTTAGTTTGAAAATAGATGGCGTTATGTGTCAATTGTCCGAAAATATTATTATTAAGGACATTTATATTATTAACAGATAAACTCTACCTATAAACAATTAATATCTATTAGATACTCGCCTCCACGAAACTATTTTTTTTTTTAAATATTTTTTCCTATTTTACTTTCCTTTAGCTCAATATTTACACAAAATTTTAATATTGCGACGCTTCCGTCGCTAAGAAGCTCAGTGAGGCCGCGTGGAAAGAGAACATCACACAACACATTAAAAGACATGTTAAGTAAATTTGAAAAATCAAATGCCCATTTTGATTATTCGCAATGTCACAAATTGATGCCACCACATGTTCAGCAAGAAGTTAATAAAACAGAATTAGAAGACACTGATCCTACAACGAACTACGGGCCATGAAAATGATAATAACAGCCTTACTGTACAAGATAAGGTTTCCAGTAGTTCTTCTGATTCAGCTTACAGTACAGGAAGAGGGGATAACGCTGTCTCGCAACTGTATACTATTCTTTCCTTATTTTACTTTCCTTAAACTCAATATTTACACAAAATTTTAATATTGCGACGCTTTTGTCGCTAAGAAGTCTAGTAAAGCCGCGTAGAAAGATAACCTCGAAGCCACTTCTTTACATAAACTCAAACTCAAAACATCTCTATTTCATAAAGTTCTTTTAAAAATTGTTTTAAAATCGTCTTCGACTCTTGTCATAGATCAACAAACACAATAGCCACAATCTGTTTTGTAAAATGTTAAAAAAAAATAAGGTAATACATTATATGTCTGTGCCGATCTACAACCCATAGACTAAATCTATATTAATATTATAAATGTGAAAGTGTGTCTGTCTGTCTGTCTGTTACCTCTTCACGCTTAAACCGCTGAACCGATTAAGATGACGTTTGGTACAGAGATATTCCGAGTCCCGGAAAGGGACAAAAGGAAGTTTTTATCCCAGAAATCATCATTTAAGGGGGTGAAAAGGGTAGTGGAAGTTTGTATGGGGAATCAATAACCGCTGAACCGGTTAAGATGAAATTTGGTATGGAGGTATTTTGATTCTTAGGGAAACTAATAGGCTACTTTTTACCGCGATAACCGACATTTATCTGAACGGAGCCGTGGGCAAAAGCTTGTAATTATGCAAATAAGAAAATGTATACAAGTAAATATCGTACCGGTTAATAACCGTAAACCAGTCACTCTATTTCCACATATGTTACGACCAAACCCTCACGGCAATCAATATGCGCCAAAGTTTTAGACGTAGTGTTTGAGGGGCGGTGGGGAAGGGCTTGTGGGCAACGGCAAGTTGTCACGCGCAGGCAATAATGCCATTCCTCATCTTGCACTCGATAAGTTCAGACGCGCGTCGCGCGCTTGATTGTGGCGGGAGTACGCCGAGCATGTATTTACGTCTTTGTAAAGACATGTATTTAATCTATCATACTATAATCAACAGCCGAGAGAAGGAAAACTTGACACAAACCCTATACCAACCCGTCTGGCCAGCGAGGTATAGTAGGCCGGAGCCTCCTTTCTGGGGAGAGGCCTATGTCCAGCAGTGGACTGGTAAAGGCTGTTGATGATACTATAATCAATACTAAAACAAGACGTGTGGTGACGGATTAATAATACGGAGTGTCACCATCCCTTCTCGTTCCGTGGGTGTCGTAAGAGCCGACTTAGGTCAACAGCACTGCAAAGGAAAACTTTTCGTACACCATCCCGTCTCGCCAGCGTGGTATAGTAGGCCAAAACCTCCTTTCTAAGGAGAGGCATATGTCCAGCAGTGGACTGTTATAGGCTGTTGATAATGATGATGACAGTAAGAGAAATCTTAAGTTACCTAAACCACTACTTTGAATTGTAAATTAACCTTTTATAATTTTAAATGAATTGTTTAGCTCCAAATTCGATGGCTTTAGAAGCTTTGATACCGTTTGTTTGTTTGTCCTTTTTTTTCCATCTGACATTTCATTCATCTTGACACCTCGTTACAATTATTTTACCTCCAAGAGAGAATAATACACACCATCAAACATAAATCATCAACCTATTTTTTTTTAAAAGACATCACCCGCATTAGGAATATATCATGTGTCGCGGGGGACTTTAGAAACATACATGAAACGGACACAAAGAACACCCAGACTCAGAACAACAATTTGTGGATCACACAAAGTGTCGTCCCATGTGGGGATCGGACCCACAACACTCAGCGTAGTAGTAAGCGGCGTGGCGACCGCTTAAACCATTACGGTATTTACTACACTAATGCATTTCTAAAGTGATTTGACTGAGTAGAGTACTTTTTTAAAAATTCTTTGATGGAGTAAAAGCACTCTCCCGCATTAGGAATATATCCTGTGTCGCGGGGGACTTTACAAACATACATGAAACGGACACAAAGAACACCCAGACTCAGAACAACAATTTGTGGATCACACAAAGTGTCGTCGTAGGTCGTAACAGGAAGCGGCGTGGCGACCACTTAAACCACTACGCCATCCGTGCAGTATACCTATCGCCGTCCGCTACTGAACGCAGGCCTCCCCAATGTGGAGCACCTATGTACTGTTGGGCTTTAAACTACAATACAATAAATATTTAGATTTTTGGGTCGACTAACAAAATCACTTATTTATTCCATTCTTTTTATGCTTTTCTCATCAGCCTATCGCCGTTCACTGTTACTGTACGCCTACATTTAAAATGGAACCTAAATCTGACTTCGGCAAAAGTCAATACGAGGTTCAGGTATACGGACACTGACCTGCTATTCTATTCTATTCTTATACTCCCAAATTGATCAATATAAAGAAAATTACCTTTGTTTTCAAAATACCCACAATAGGGTAGATTCCTACGTATAAAATGTATTATTTCGCCAGTATCACTAAATGCAACATCTTAAAGTACTACCTGAGTTGTCCTCTACTCTCCATTTAATGTTTTTATATCTTCAAATCAACATTTTAATAGGAATTATTTAACAATACCTTGATAATAATAATAATATAATAAAAACCAGCAGGACACCGGCATTGCAAAAAGAAAGAAAACTTGACACAAACCCTATAAGTAAGAGTAAGAGTGACTAACAGTGGCAAAAGGTGGATGTTTAACACGCCTATGTCTACCCGTACAGGGATATAAGCTTGAATATATGCATGTAAACTTTTTTGGCAATTTTTCATTATTACTTATTTTTAACCTGAATTGTCCTACTGCAGGGCAAAAGCCTCCCTCTCTCCATTCCACATCTCTCGGTCGTGTGCTAGTTCGGACAGGTCTTTGCGGAAGCCGTCGAGATCGCCGTTGTCGTCAGCACTTTGTGGGACCCAAGTTCTGCTAATTTTTGCCTAAAGATCCGTCGGCATGCTTCAAACGTTTCCGGCCCAGTCCCATTATAATCCCATTATTTCTTCTTCAAATCTCACATTAACGTGTAGCCTTTTCTTTTGTGTAGGTATTCTTAAAGATAGAAAACCAGCCAACCAGGTGGAAAATCTAAAAAGCTCTTGGATGAGTGAACTTCAAACAAGCGAGCAAGGATCGTCAGATGCCGAAGAAAATACGAGAGACTATTGTTCAAATGGCAAAGTGAAATGTAAAACACTCGTCAAAACAGAGACAACAGACACTTACACTTGCAGCTCTTGTCACAAAGAATTTGTTCGATGGGCTCAATTAACAAGACACATGAAAACACACATCGGTAAGAAAACTGTTAAGTGTAATCTATGTGAGAAAAACTTTACTAGCAAAAATAAGTTAGGTAAGCACATTCTACACAATCATATACAGGAAAACCCGTTTCCATGTAACAAATGCGGTGAGGGATTCATGGTTACAAGCCATTTAAACAGACACATTGCTCTAAAACATGTAGATTGGAATAAATACGTGTGTGAATACTGTAGCGAAGTACATACCAGCAAGACGGATATAAAAAATCATGTACGCAGTAATCATAGCCAAAAACCAGTGCCGCAACCAACCAGATATCCGATGCATGCTGCTAAAAAAGAATACAAATAATAATAATAATAATAATAATAAGGTTTATTTGTCTCAAAAAGGTAAATAGGTACATAGGTTTGTTATGCTACTATAATAAAAATAACATACATGACACCTTAGTGAGAGCTGGAGTTTGTAGTAGGTTCGAAACCTGTGTGACAAATCTCCAGGCTCCCACCTTAGCGATACAGATGCAATACATATACATGTAGATTTTGAGCAACGTGATACATTTTTTAGTTTTATTTTTTTAATTCAAAATATAATTAAAAAAGGTAAGAAGAATTAGAAATTAGTGTATGCGTGCGTGTGTGTGTGTGTTGAGTGTGTGTGCGTGTGTGTGTGTTTGTGTATGTGCATGAGTGACAGTACTTATTTTAAAGTACAGATTATCTTTTCTGTTTCGTCATAATCCAAATCAATCAACCACTTGGTAACAGCTTTTTTACATTGAAATTTAGTCATTGGGTACACATTCAGGATTTTGTTAACTTTGTTGTACAAATAGTTACCAAAGTGGTAAAAACATCGCTGTGCTAGTCTTGTTCTGACCGGGTTTGACGGGCATACAGTATACTTTCGACGAACAGACTTAAATTTCGAAGGATCATAAGGAGTCTGAGAGTGTGTCGTAAGAATAACGGAGAGGATAAATAGTTTACGGACAGAGAGCACATTACAGGTTTTATAAACATCAGTGGTCGGGAAACGGTATGGTAGCCTCCAACCAACTTTTAGTACCGCCCTTTGGGCACGCTCCAATTTAAGGAGATATGTTTTATCTGCACCTCCCCAGGTAACGATGCAGTACTGCGTCAGAGACTGGCAAAGAGCAAGATAGGTGGTCCTAAGTATTTGTGTATCAGCTACCTGACCGAGGGTTTTAAAGACAAATATGAGCTTTCGTAGTCTAGAGGATAGTGCGTCTATGTGTGAATGGAAGGAGAGAGTGTCGTCAATCTGTACCCCTAGATATTTTACACTGTTAGTTCGGCACAGGTTGGGGCAATTACAAGAGGCCTGTGAGAGAGGATTACAGGAGTGAGCGATGAGGGTATAGAATAATGAAGAAGGCCTACCAAGTGAAGTTAGTGAAAATGTGAGGTAACTAGTTTTATCAACATTGAGTGCGAGTTGATTATAGGCCAGCCAATTAGTAACAGCGTTAAGACTCGATTGTGCACTCTCAAATGCCGCCTCCCAAGAGCTGCCATAAGATATGAGGGCTGTATCGTCGGCGTAAGTAAAAATCTTGGTGCTGTTTAGTTGTAATTGGCACAGATCATTAATATATAATAAAAATAACGTAGGGCCGAGGATGCTGCCCTGTGGGACTCCATTGATTACAAATAGCTCTTGGCTACAGATATCGCTAATCTTAACATACTGTCTTCTATTGATGAGATAACTTTTGAATAGAGACAGTTGACTACCTCGGATACCGATTTTTTCCAATTTCGTTACAAGGATAGGAACAGAGATCATATTAAAAGCTTTTGATATGTCTAGAAAAACACCCATAACTTTTAGTTTATCATCAAGCTTAGCTGTGACTTCATTGGTTAGGTCCAAGACTGCTTTACTCGTGGATAAGCCGGAACGAAAACCATATTGACATGGAGACAACAGTTTTGTTTGCTCTAAGAAATTTACCAGCCTGTTGTTCATTAACCTCTCTAATATTTTAGAAAGGGTTGGCAAAATAGATATAGGTCTGTAGTTCTGCGGTTGACCCCTATCACCTCCTTTGTGGATCGGGTGAACTACAGCGAGTTTAAATGCTTCTGGAAATGTTCCTGTATTGAAAGCAAGATTACATAAATAAGTTATAGGTGGGACCAAGAAGTCTTTGAATTTTTTTAGGAAGTTACCCGAAATGTCATCGTTACCTACTGCGCAGTGACTTTTTAGATTCATTATAAGAGCATTGACTTCAGCTTCATCCGTTTCTAATAAGGCGAATGAGTGATGGTGGTAAGGGAGGACGTTTGCCAAGTGCGGATGGTGATTGCCAGTAGTGATTTGTCCGGCTTGGGACCGTCCAATATCAGCAAAGTAGGTATTAACTTCATTCACCGATCGTTTTGGGTCTCGTTTGGAGAGAAGTTCGAGCGGTTGTGTAGTGTCTTTCAGCGTGTGTGTGATAGTTTTTATAGCTTTCCAAACTTTTTTTGTATTACCTTGTGCCTTATCTATCTGATTTTTATTATATTTTAATTTTATGTTTTTAAGTAGGTTAGAGCAGTAGTTCCTATATCTTTTGAACGTTACTTTTAAAATTTCATTATTAGGATCATTTTTAAATTTCAAGTATAAGTTATCCCTATTTCGCAAGCATTTCAGTAAACCTGGGGTCATCCACTGTTTTTTAAGTCTTTTACGGTTTGGAACAATTTTTAAGCTTGAGTTTGCAGTAATTAACGAGTTTACAGTTTTAATAAAATAATTAGTCGCGTCGTTGACGTCAGAAAAGGCATAGATAGGGGTAAAGTCCGTTGTTATGATTTGTGATTGAATATTTTCAAAGTTAATAACTTTGGTAGTTTTATAAGTAGTGTAATTAGAGTAGTGTTTAGAACGAAGGAAAAATAAAATTGTATCATGATCAGTGATGGAAGTATTTGCTACGTAACAGAAAGCAGGTAGTTTAGTTTTTAATAGTAGGTGATCTAGACAGGATTGATTCTGACGTGTATAGAGTGTGTGAGCCGGGAGCATACCATGATATGCAGCCATATTAAGATAATCAAAGGAGCGGGGATTGTTATTAGTGTTAGAAATGTCAATGTTGATATCCCCAGTCACTATAACATTTTTATAGGAGGAGTAGGAGTTCAAAAGTTCATGGAGGGAATTGAGAAAATCGGACACGTTTTGCCTTGCAGGTGGGCGGTAGATTGCGATCACCACAGTGTCCTTATTAATCGTAAGACTTAAACAGTTAGCATCTTTTAGAGAAGGTTCAGTGGGTGAGATTCGAAGATGCTGGCTAAAGTATATCACTACCCCTTCATTCTGTGTGTACAGTTTGTTAGTCCTAACAGAGCTGTAACCGTCTATTGTTGGGATTTGTGATGAACTTTGCAACCAGCATTCGGTAAGAATGATCAAATCCCAAAAGACGTCACTTCTATCCAAAAGGGTCAAAAGACCATCGAAATTTTTGTTGATGCTCCTGATGTTCTGACATAAGAGTTTTAAGGATCTCCCATGTGAGCGAGATATTTGAAGGCATTCCTCTATCACACAATCCGATGAGCTTGCAACTGAAATTCTGTCCAAATCTGCATGAATTTCTTGAACGTTATCGAATTTTGTATTGTAAAATTATGTCCCAAAAATTGGGGTTGAAAACAGTAGTAAAAATAGATAAAAGCAAATACACGAAAAGTCCCCCGTTATAAATTATAAGTAAAATACATGCAGTGATATTGTATGCAAGGAATAGTTTATTATTGGTTGTTAATATTGAGTAGTATGACCACTGGTAAAGGAATCTGCGAGTAATATACATAAGTAAGTAATAACATGTGCAGAATGTAGACAAGTAAACATTAGGGGCCGGGCTATAAGGGTGTTGGGATTTTATATTATTTCTGGTGATGTAGAAAATAAAATAAAATAAGTAAACTAAGGTGGAACGATTTGCTGGGTGGTTGCGATTTATTAATTTAGATTTGATGCAGTATTTTATGAGTGTTATAATTGAATGGTGTTTATAGTTGTTGTTATATGTGTAGTGAATTATTATTGTAATTGTAAGTGTATTAAGCGGATAAGTTATATTTAAAGTGTATAGTGTAGCAAGTGAAGTGAATCTTGACAATTTTGAACAGAATATGGATTGCATTAGAACACAAATATATATATGCGAAATACTTGTATATAAAGTTATGCACGCAAACACAGGTAAAAGTAATAAAAGTAAGGAAGTGGTATATAGTCATTCATTCTTTTCAAGGTCTAGAATTGTCTGTTCCGTCTTAACAATGAAATGTCGGGCTCCTTCTTCCTTCCGAATAAATATGTTACCGTTTTTTAACCAGCAGAATTTATAGTTTTTCGTTTTTGCCAGTTCTCTTGCCCTAAAAAACAGCCTTCTTAAACTTGCCGGAAGATGTTCAGCAACAAATATAGGCCGAGAGTCTCCAGATAGACCAATGGACCGAGTGTTGAGCGTTTGTTCTTTTGGACGATTTTTATTGAAGTCACGGTAACACATAATTAGTTGATTTTTAAAGTTAACGCTGTTAAATTCTATCACAATGGGTCTAGTTGAGCCTGGTTTGCCCGGGAGTCGGTATACGTCGCGTATTTGCGAGTCAGAGAGGGGCAAGTTGACGGCCGCCGTGACGGTTTTTGTAATAGTGATCAAATCACTGGTGGTTTCGTTATCCTTTATCGGAATATTTCTGATTTCCACAGATGAGGAGCGAGAATGTAATTGAAAATCCTTTACCTTGTTTTCCAAGTCAGCCACAGATTTTTTGTACATTTCTTTTTCTTTCTTTAAAGACTCAATTTGAAGTTTCATGTCTTCAAACTGGTTACTAATAAACGTCATAGATTTTTCAAGATCAATATTTAATTTTTGAAATGAAATAAATTGCAATTTCATCTCGGCCATCTCCGAAATAACTTTATTCAGGGCTAGCGACTGCTGATTAATTAATTTGTTAATGCACTCCTCTTGAT